GTTAATATAAGGTTTCCAGCCAGTTTTCTGATAGTATGACAGTCTTGTAATATGCCATATCTCTTGCATACTGTTTTCTACTTAGTCCGATGTGCCTTGGATGCATTACCTTACCCTACTATATTTACCCTCAGTTTCCCAAACTATAAGATTGGTATTATGAGGATTAAAGGAAATAATGCATTCTCATTGCTCAGAAGTCTGTCTGAACATGGTAAGAATTAAATACCATGATGAAGCAGAAAATTTTCTTTTATTTTTTCATTTTCTCCTGGGAGCTAATTGAGAGAGGAAAAACCCAACAATAACTTAAAGATATTTATTCATGTCTGTGTAATATTTTAATATTTTGATGGAAATAATGCTTTGTGAAATAACTGGACATTTTAATATTTTGACAGGATATATACATATATTTTTTAAAAAAATATTTCTTAATTGTCAGTCGACCTTTATTTTATTTATTTATATGCGGTGCTCAGAATAGAACCCAGTGCCTCACATATGCTAGGCAAGTGCTTTACAACTGAGCCACAACCCCAGCTCCTTGACAGGATATATTTTGACAGTATATTCTGTAAAGTATTTACACTGTTTAAAGTATTTCCATGTATTATAATTTGAGGAAAAGCTTATTGATATGTTTATTCTTTCCATTCTTGTCCACATAGTACATGGGTAAGTTACAGAGTCAGCAGTAATTCCTAGATTGAATAGAATTTAAGGAATAAGTATTTCCTTGTGATTTTTTTTTTTTAATGTTCATGGAGAATGATCATTAAACTGTCATTAGGATTTTTTGTACTTCATTATAATTTACTACTGATGAACATAGATAAACGGATGATTTTAGGAGTTATTAATTACTGCTTGGAAATAGTTATATGATAGAATTCCACTAGGGGTGATTTTTTTTTCCCCAATTGAGACCAAGTTGTCGTTATTGTCATGTAATGAGACTACATAAAATAACAGATGGATTGATGCACTTGTTTTTCCTCTTGCAGAACTCCTGGCCCAGAATATGAATCATCCTTTTGTTCAGTGTATCTTAGCTGTATGCTCTACCCACATGTTAGTCATTTAGAAGCAGTCTTGGTTATTAGTTTGATTCTCATGGTATCGCAATGCTTATGTTTGAGTATCCCTTACTTAAGATGACCCCAAAATATGAGAGTAGTGACGTTGGTAATCTCATTACAGTGTATTACTAAAATTGTTCTATTTTATTACAAATTATTGTTATTTTTTACTTTGCCTAATTATGAAGTAAACTTTATCACAGGTATATATGTATAGGAAAAATAGGGTTTGGTACTATCCTCAGTTTCAGATATCTCCTGGATTTCTTGGATTGTATTATCCTGTGGATAAGGAGAGAGTACTGGATTTCTTTGAATACTTTGTTTAGCTCTACTTTTTTTTCTTTTCTGACTGACATAAATGTTAGATTATAGTTATAGAGGTCTCCAAGGATGTGTTTTTTTTAAAAAAATATTTTTCATTGTATGGACACAATACCTTTATTTTATTTATTTATTCTTATGTGGTGCTGAGGATTGAACTCAGTGCCTCACTCATACTAGGCAAGTGCTCTACCACTGAGTTACAGCCCTAGCCCTATTTTTTAAATATATTTTCTTTCTGTTGTTCGATTATTTTCTTCTGTTGCATTTTCAAATTCACTGATTCTTTCCTCTTACCTTTTTGTTCGGCTCTTAAGTCTATTTATTTATATTTTACTTATTGTACTTTTGAGTTCTAAAATTTCTGCTTGGTTCTTTTTTATATCTCATTTCTTTGCTGAAGCATTCAGTTTCATTTCTTTCAAAATGTGTTTGTAATTGCTCATTAAAATATTTTTATGATGGATGCTTTAAAATACTTGTCAGATAATCCTAACATTTCAGTGTTGACAATTGTTGTTTGCCTTCTCTCATTTAGGTTGAGATTTTACTAGGAAACTAGCTTTGACCTTGCGGTCTGATTAAGAAGCTCCACTTCCAGGGATCCAAGTTCTTATTCTAGACCAGCGTTAAACAGAGCTTGAGGCTTGATTTTAGATTTGTTGTGTTTGCTTAGTATTATGTTTGTTATTTTGTCATTCAAAACGATGGGGGTCTTTTAAAAGTTAATGTCCTAATTTTTGGGTCTTCCTAATTGGATATTCTGTCACCCCATCCCTGTCCTCACCCACTGGGTATTCCCTTGGAGTGAACAGTGTCTCTGTAGATGAGCACCCTTGGAGCTTGCCACTTCCTTGATTCTACCACAACTTTACATTAGGACATGCAGGACTGAGGCACCTTGTTGGGATTCATATTGTGTAATGTAATGAGCCTACCACATAATCAATCCTATGTGTATATTATTATCCTGTTGTTTTTGCCCTTTTTTGGTGGCAGTTTGCCAACAAGGTCTATGCTTGCCTTTCCCTAGTCCATATTAGGTAGCCAATCAGTTACCCTGTCCCCAGTGGCAGTCTTCATCCATGTTACCCCTGGCTGTGTCCCCACTGCCTTCCTCTACACTATATCCCATGAGACATGCCTGAGGCCTGGCTGGGGGGAATGGCATCCCATATCTGGTGTTGCCCACAAGTACTTGTTCTTGCACTCACCCTGCCTAGTTAGTAGATCCTTGCTCAAACACATGCCTGTATCAAAAATTAGTCTGGAGGTATCTAAGTACTTAATATGGTGATATGAATGGCTTTGGTTGGCATTCAGCTCCTACCTGGATAACTGGTAATTTTTTAGTTAATTTACATCTGTGGTGCCATTGGCTCTGGTGATTGTAGATAACATAGATCAGTTGCACAACCCCATCACCCTGTCACATTTAGGTGGTGTTGCAGTGCCTTCTGTGGCCATGGAATGTGACTCGGAATATAGTTCATTCTGCAGAGGGAGCCTAATAAACTAATAACTCTATCCAAGGAAGGTAAAGTGGAGTGAAATTCTCTACTCTCAACCCTAGAAGGCAGTGACAAAGATAACACAGGACTCTGGAGATCTTGGAATAGATACTTTTTTTGAGGAGTTCCAGGAATTGAATTGAGGCGCTTTACCACTGAGGTACATCTCAGCCCTTTTTATGTTTTATTTTGAGACAGAGTCTTCTAAGTTGCTTAGGGCCTTGCTAAATTGCGAAGGCTGTCTTTGAATTTGCAGTCCTCCTGCCTTAGCCTCCCGAGCCACTGGGATTACAGGTCTGCACTACTGTACCAGGCAGGGTACTCTAAATCTTTTAAGGAGGGTAATGTAATGAGCCTATCACATAATCATTGAGCCAATGATTACAGGGTAAGTCTGGTGCTGACAGCCAGTTTCAGTGCCCTACATTGAATTTACTGTAGTTAAACGGCTTGTAGTTGATCCTGGCACAGGGAAGGGTTTGTTGTGAGAGAGCTCCTGTCTGTCTCTTGGGGCCCTCTTTGTTTTCAGCTGTTTCATTGGGGCTGAAGTATACATATGGAGAAATTGTAGCATCCAGAGCAGCTATAGGCTGCCTGGATACCGTTGCTAGGAACTGTGGAATGGGAATGTGGTTCTGTTTTCTTTTGGAACTTGGTGGAGAATGATTAAGTATAAGGTGGAGGTATTAGTGTTGCACCTCTAGAGCTCTTAAACCAGTGTAAATCTTAAACCAGTGTAAGACCAACTGAAGTGAAAACTTTTGCCAAGGATGTTTTCATTACTCAAGGATGAAGGTGAAATGGGGAGGTTTAAAAAGGGTTAGGTCCCATGTAGTTTTGACCATAAAGGTTGGAAATGTCTTCTATAGGCTCTGCCTGCACTTAATTTGAATCAATACTGGCAACTTCACCAGACTGTGCTATGGATGGAGTTGACTTACTGATAGCTTTCTTTGGATGGGATGTGTGACTTTTCTCTTTTGGTGGAGAGATTTGTCTGGTTAATTGATTAATAGCATGATAACCAGTTAACTGATCCTTAGCACTTGGTATCTCTCCGCTTTATCATGTGGCATCTGTCACCAAAGATTTAAGCAGCCCAAGTCTCTGATTCTTGTGCACATGGTCCTAGGTATCAGCATTTGGCCCTGAGGGATAACTGAGGAGGTCTACATAAAAGTAATAACCAGATTTCAATATGTGGACCTGTGGAGGAGCTTTCCGAAGCAGGCTAGTGAGTGAGCGCGTGCCAAGGATCAGTTGTGGTTTTCTTCTGAGTTGTGTTGTTGGCCACCTCAGGCTAAAGAGCAGACAAATGTTTTTCTAAAGCTGCTTGGTGTGGGTGGTGGGGAAAACTGTCATTCTTTACATAGCTATAGATCCTGGATTCCCACGGCTTCTGCTTATGGTGGCCTCTGGTTTACCTCTTTCTGACGTGGCATCTTTGTGGTCTAGTTCTCTCAACTCTAAATATGTGTAATTTTTTTTTTTAAGATGTTGATGGACCTTTATTTATTCATATATGGTGCTGAGAATTGAACCCAATGCCTCACACATGCTAGGCAAGCTAGGCAAGCGCTGTACCACTGACCCATAACCCCGGCGCCTAATTTTCTTGTTCTTGTGGAAGAGGTTAGGATAGGGATTTCTATTCTTTGTTGCCACCTGCCCTCCGCTGTTATTGATTTGAGTCCTCAGGTGTATTTTTGTGGAGCTTAAATTGTTAGGACTGTTTAAATTGCTAAACTATCAGGATTAGAGTTTAAAGTTGTTAGAGTACTAATGGTGATTTGTTTTTGCATATATTTTTTCAATACTTATAGGAGAGTTTAGTTTTAAAGAAAATCAACAGTTTGTTATTTTCAACTTTATTTATGGAGCCAAGGAACAACTACCTTTGAATCCATTTTCAGAAAACTTAGTTTCAGATACACATTTGCATATCATCTTAATCATGATTGTCAGTTCTCCATGCTATTTTGCCAAGTGACAGATTATTGTTTTGACAAAAAATATTTTTGTATTGGTGGTCTTTAAAAAAATATATAACCAAGAGTAATTCTATTTTTCTTTTTGTTAACAGACATATGTAGAGTGTGTCGGTCAGAAGGAACACCTGAAAAACCTCTTTATCATCCTTGTGTATGTACTGGCAGTATTAAGTTTATCCATCAAGAATGGTAAGTCATAATTTTAGAAAATTGTATAACTCTGAATTTCAGTTTTGTCATCTACACAAGAAGAATGATCATTTCAGTGAACTTGCTCTATAATTATTTTTAAAATTTTTGTTGTAAAAATTTGAAAAATTGGAAAAGAAATTCCCATAGTTCTTTAAGCCATGCTTGTTATTTTGGTATAATTGTGAGTACCCTCTTGTTTATTTCTAGCATAGAGAAGTTATTTTGTCTTTGGGAAATATTTTCTTTTTTAAGTTTTCAGTGGCATAATAATAGCTTACATGTATGAAATACTTTGTGTCAAGAACTATTTTCATGCTTTACACATCCTAACTAATCTTTACATGAGAATTGTGAGGTAGAGTATTATTGTTATATAGACAAAGAAATGAAAGTATAGACAGGTTAAATAACTTTTCTTAGGCCATGTAGTCAGCCAATTAGTGACAGAACTAGGATTCAGACCTAGTTACTAGGTACTAGTATTATCAACCAGTATTAAAACTGATGATGATGCTTGGGATTTTCTTATTCATTTAACTCTGAAGAGATTTTAATTTAGGTTGAATGAACCTTTTTAAGAGAAATAATATATGTATATATATTTTTTTGTCTTTAGCAGTTGTAAATTCTGTAATCTTAGAAGGCAGATAAAGGTTTAAGAATGTTCTAAATTTGAAATTGTCAAAATTGTTAAAAGCTCTATAATATGTTAAGTTTTAATAAAAACAGAACATTAGTTTTCAGTGAAACTTCAGTTTGTTGTAAATATTGTATTTATGAATGTATTTGTAATTACAGCTTAGTTCAGTGGCTGAAACACAGTCGAAAAGAATACTGTGAATTATGCAAACACAGATTTGCTTTTACACCAAGTAAGTTCTTTAGATGTTTTCACATTTGATTATTACTGGCAGCAAAAGGTGTTTTAAATGATTGTAAAGCATCAATTTTTAATTTCATTGTCTTTGATAGTAATAGGAAAAAATGCTTTTTCATTTAGGAAAATATTTTTTAAAATGGTCATCTAACACACATGTTTTATAGGACTCTTTCCTTTTAATTATAGACAAGTTCAAGCATATACAAAGGTATAATGAATTCACATGATGTACCCATCACTCGGTGTCACCTGCATCTCAACCCATGGCCTATTTTACTTTGTCTATGCTTCTTTATCTCCCCATCCTTTTTATTTATTATTTTTATCTGACCTTTTAAAAATAATCCTGTCGTTTATATTTTCATTTGTAAATTTTTTTCAGAATGTGGCTCTAAAAATGTAAGGATTCTGTTTTAAAAAATACATATTACCATTATCCACTTAGAAAAGATAATGATGCCTTGAGTTCATCAAATATTAAGTTTGGACAATCTTTTGAGCTAACATTATGTGTATATTAGAATAATAGTAATAAAGACAAAGTTTTAACTCTCCTTTTTTTCCTTGAGCCTGGATTTTTTTGGGGGGTGTTGGGTGGGAGGTGATTTGAACCCAAGGGCACTTAACCACTGAGCCATATTTGTACACCATTTTGTTTTTATTTAGAGTTAGCATTTTGCTAAGTTGCTCACAGCCTCACTATGTGCTGAGGCTGGTTTCGAAAGTGCTATCCTCTTGCCTCAGCCTCCTGAGCTGCTTGGATTACAAGAATATGTCACCATGCCCAGCATAAGACTGACTTTTTAAGCTCATATTTTGTAAGCCTTTTGTAAATATTCTGCAGGTTTAAAAACTTTTAAGTAATTCCTATGCCTATTGATAAAAATCTAATATTACTCATCTTAAATGGAAGACTATACTGACAAATAATTAAAATTTGAAGTATAATTTTTCATTTTGGAATCTCAGTGTGTTGCCCTTTTCTCCCAAACATCTCTTATGTTATTTTTTTTTTAAAAAGCCTTTTGTGCTGCTCAGTATAGATACTGTAAATTCATGTTAGTTTTACTTTGTATTTGACAAGTATAAATAATTAAAAATCCACATTTTCACTCTTGGAGCTTTATATTCATTGCCATCAAAAATGTCAACTATTTTGTGGTCTTTTATTTTTTTGTAGTGTATACTAGTTCTATAACTTTAAGATTTTTAGCAAACTAGTTGAATGTATTCATGAAGTTTAATAGGAAAATCTTTGGTGGGCTTCTTTTGAGTCCAAGAAATGCTGCTTTTGTATATTTTAGTTTTTATTTGATCTTTTTATGAGGTTTCCTTTATCTTTCACAAAACTCTATTATTACTGGCTGAGTGACTTGCTCTTTTATACCAAATATCCTGTTGAAGTCAGTGATTGATGTTTGTATATTGTAAAAAGTTAATTACCAGAAATTGAACCCGGGCCCACTGGACCAGTGAGCCACATCCCCAGCCCATTTTTTGTATTTTATTTAGAGACAGGGTCTCACTAAGTTTCTTATGGCTTCGCTAAGTTGCTGAGGCTGGTTTTGAACTCAGGATCCTCTTGCCTCAGCCTCCTAAGCTGCTGGGATTACAGGTGTGCATCACTATGCCTGGACAAAATTTACCATTTATTTTTTTTTCCTTGAATGTTTGTGCTGCTGGGATTACAGGTGTGCACCACTGTGCCTGCCAAAACTTACCATTTATTTATTTTTTTTCCTGAATATTTGTTTGTACTCTCTGTGTTTCTGAGTTACCTGTAGTGGAACTTTTGAATAAGCAGTTGTTTTTATTGGAAACATTTAAAAATGCTATTTTTCTAAAATCTGACAATTTTCTTTTTCCGAGTATGTTGAACCACATTTTGCAGAGAAGGGGGAAGATATGAATTTATCATTTAAAATTTTAAGTACTATGTTGAAATTAGGGGAAGGGTTGGCTTAATATAAGACTGTGGCTACCACATGAAATGGCTTCACTACAGTTGTGCTTTTTGAGTTCTGTGTCCTCATGCTTGTGTTTGGGGGAAGTTCTTTCATGATAACATGATATCAACTTCCCTTTTGTTCTTTCTTTTACCTGATATATCTCTATCTCTATCCATCCATCCATCCATCCATCTATCTATCTATATTGGTGGTATTGGGGATTACACCAGCTCTTGGATCACATATTCTAGGCAAATACTCTACCACTGAGCTACATCCCCAGCTCTTTGTATTTTATTTTGAGACAGGTTCTCACCAAGTTTCCCAGGCTGGCTTTAACCTCCTGAGTAACTGGGATTATAGGTGTGCCATTATACTGGGCTCTTGACCTGATATTTTATGGCTTAGGAAACCAGATAATTATATTGTTTGAATGCTTAATCTTTTCTTCCTGGTTAGGCATTTTTTTCTTGTTGATTTCCATATTTTACATGTGATTTGTCTCCTAAGCAGCTTCTTGGGTAAATGTAGTATTGTTGTAACTATTTGATTAACTTTATTTTCATTGGAAAAATATTTAAGCACAATACATATATTGAACATTAAGATATTACAGTGTTTATTTTCTGTGTGTATGAATTAAGCCATTTTAAAATCCTCATGAAATCCTGTGTATGTTTTTCCCTCTTAAAGTTTATTCTCCAGATATGCCTTCGCGGCTTCCAATCCAGGACATATTTGCTGGACTGGTTACAAGTATTGGCACTGCAATACGATATTGGTTTCATTATACACTTGTGGCCTTTGCATGGTTGGGAGTTGTTCCTCTTACAGCATGTGAGTATTCCTGCCTATGTCAAAGTTACTTAAACATTGTATAACTACTTAATATTATAAGAAATGTTGCCCCAGGCTATTGTTTGAATGACGTTTAATTAGTTGGTATTTAATGTCATATTGATTAGGAAGTCTTGTTTAGGAAATATTCATCTGAACTCAGCATGAGTTTGATTTTCATTTGGTCCTGGGGATTGAACCCAGGACCTTGTCTCAGCTAAACATGTTCTAGCATTGAGATACAACCAAGAATGAATTTTTAAACAGGTCTGTTTCTTAAATGAATGTGAGAAAGAAGAATACAGTATATAGAGGTTAATAATGAAAGTTCATGAAAGAATTTAGAAAGTAAAAATGAAACCATAATTAAAAGAAACTCAAATTTTATTCCTTGACTTATACAGGAGCTTTTAAGGTCTCTAGTAGGTGGATTCTTTTGGGGTCTCCCCACCTCCTTTTAAAGATATAAGATCTAATGGTCCTGAGTAATTGGGAAGCTTATCTTTCAGATATAAGAAGCTCTCTGGATCTTGTATACTAACCAATCCTCTTAGGTGATTATTGTTCTTCTTCCTTAAAGACATTGAAAATAGTATATGAATGGCATAATATATAGATATGATTTCTTGGAATTAAAAATAAGCAAGATTTTTAAACAAGTATGTAATTAATATTCTTATGTCTGCTAAAATAAAATTAACGCGATTTTCTGTGGAAATGAAAATATTGAAAGATATACCAAATAGCAGAATAGGTTTGTTGAATAGTGGATTAGTGAGACAGAAGACTTAGTCAAGGAGTTCTCTTAGGTTGCAATTAAAGAGACAAATGTTCCAGGTATGAGAAAAACATATTGAGAGATGAAGGCTAGATCTAGTTGTTTCAGCAACTGCTAGTAAATAGTTCTATTAAGGCAAAAGAGATAATGGAGGTGAGAAAATGGTATCTTTTTTTTTTTTTTTGGCAAGAAAATGACAATAAATGAAAAAGGAAAAAGTCTCGTATTCCTGAACAATCTCAAATTTTCTAGAGCTAGGGAGTATGGTAAAGGTATAGCAATGATGTGCTTCCACTTCTGGATTGTCCTACAAAGTAGAGAAAATCAGACTGCCATCAGACTTAAAATCATGTGTAATGCTAAAGGAAAGTCCACTTAAAAACTTAAAATTTGGCAATATTTTTGAACTTAAAATTTCTCACCTGAAAAGACAACATAGAGAAACATTTCATTAGATGTCAGGGTTTGGAAAGTTTACCGTTTCAAACTTTTTAATGAAAAAAAAAAAAGTTTTAGAATATACTTTAAATGAGCAAGGAATCAGAAAGATGTGAGACTCAAACAGGGGTGGGCTGGGGCTGTAGCTCAGTGGTAAAGTGCTTGCCTCACATGTGTGAGGCACTGGATTTAATCCTTAGCACCACATAAAAATAGAGATACTGTGTGTTTATCTACAACTAAAAAATTAAAATAAAAAAGAAGTTCTTCTTATAATTAAGCTCATTTATTGCTAATCTGTGATAATTAATAGTTCTTAATAGCTTGGTACTAAAATTCCAGGTAACCTTAACATGGAAGCAGTTGTAGGGAGAGCTTTTTAAAGTTGCTTGACTTATTTGTGAGATTATAAATTCTCTACATATAGATAGAAAGATGATGAATAACTGTGAATTAAGATGTAGGGGTATGCTGGGTGTGATGGTTCACATCTGTGATCCCAGAGGCTCAGGATGCTCTGGCAGAAGAATTACAAATTCAAGGCTAGCCTCAGCAACTTAGTGAGACTCTGTCTTAAAATAAAAAAAAAAAAAAAATTATAAGGGCTGGGGATGTGACTCAGTGGTTATGCACCTTTTGATTCACTACACTGTATCCAAATGTAAGAGTAACCAAACAATCCGTAACTAGACCCACACCTACACTGTGTCCTGATTAACCACAAAAGCATCCCAGTTCAGTGAAGGAAAGATGATTTTTTCAGTAAACAGGATAGCATCAACCGGATCGCTCTATGGGAAACACGAAACGTATCATTACCTCAGTATGGCACAAAAATTAATTTGAGATCAATTAAAAGGCTGAGTTTGAATGTTAAAAAACAAAAAAATCGGGCTGGGGATGTGGCTCAAGCGGTAGCGCGCTCGTCTGGCATGCGTGCGGCCCGGGTTCGATCCTCAGCACCACATACCAACAAAGATGTTGTGTCCACCAAAAACTAAAAAATAAATATTAAAATTAAAAAAAAAAATCTTAGAAAATGTAGACTACCCATAAAAGAAAATATTGATAAAGTCAACTTAGAATTAAGAACTTCACCTTCAGATGCCTTTAAGAGTAAAAAAGAAGCTACAGAGTAAGCGAAGATGTTTGCAATACAACAGAGGACTTATATTATGAGTATATATAAAGAGTCGTAAATACGCCAGAAAGAAAAAGGCTAGATAACCCAATTAAAAAGCTGAACAGGTGTTTCTGGAAAGAAGATATCTAAGTAGACAGTAAACACATGAAAAAGTGCTCACCATCATTAGTCATCAGGGAAATGCTCAAGAAGATAGTCACTAGAAAAGCTAAAATTCAAATGATTGACAGTCTTAAGTTGCTGCTTAGGAAGGTGGGACAACTGAAATATGTGTACATTGATGGGGGCAGTGTATACGTTATAACTGCTTTGGAAAACTGACAGTATCTACTAATGTTGGCTATTACAAATACCTTATGATGTAGTAGTTTCATTCCTGGGACTATAGATAATAGAAAAAAAAAATAAGAGCCTTGTGTCCACTAAAGAATATACAAATAAATACAAGTACAACAGCTTTGCTAATAAATTGGTACCAGTCAAATCCTTTGAACAGTACAAATACATTGTGATATATCCATACACAGAATATTACATAGCAGTGTAAAAGAGCTAACTGTTGTGACTGGAATAACATGAATGGATTTTGCTTCTTTGAGAAAAAGAAGCCTGACACACTAAAGAGTATGGATTATATGATTGCATGTACATGAAATTTAAAAATAGGTCAATTTCATATATGGTGATATTATATGATTGCATGTACATGAAATTTAAAAATAGGTCAATTTCATATATGGTGATAAAAATCAGAATAGTATTACCTTTTGCAGGTGCTGTTGACTGGAAAAGGGCTTAAGGGAACCTTCTGGGGAGCTAGAAATGTTGAACACCTTGCTTTGGATGGTATTTACCTGGATACATACATATGTAAGAATTCACGCAGCTGTTCACTTAAGATTTATGTAAAAATGTGTATCAGTTAAAAAGTAGCAAAACTTTATATAGAGTAACTGCTATAAGAATAGAAACAGGATTATCAGTTAGGGAAACAGCAAATGAAAATTGGATAGATCAGCCAAAGGTAGAAAAGAAAGGAAGAGAAAAACAGAAAGGGAAGTAGAAGAATAACAGATAAATTTAAATGTCTGTAATCATAAGGGTTTACACTTTTTTTTAATAATAAAGAGTGTCAGTTTGTGTACATATTATACTGCTCTACAAGAAGGAAATATAAGGTTAATGATGTAGAAAAATAATTTTGTTAACAAATACTAACGAATAGCAGGAACCATGTTAGCTGGCCAGATATTATTCAAGATTAAAAGTATAATATCATTAAGTGGGACAAAGCATCATATTTTATATTAATAAAAGATGTAGTCCACTAAGAAAATAAAATTAAAGAACTTTTAAATACTAGAAAACAGAACTGTGATATATGTAAAGCATTTACAGTCATGATGGAAGACCAGCATACCTCTCTGAAATCTGTAGATCAAATAGTAAGAACAAATAAGTCCTTAGAGGATTCTGGTAACATTTAACATGTTTGATTTCTATCTAACTTGTTTATATACACACTATGTAAAATTTAAATTACATCACACAGTACTTATTCTATAACTTTTAAACTTAGTGATGTACCTTGGCTCTCTTTCCATGTAGTACATGATCTGCTGCCTTATGGTTTTTCTTTTTGTTTGTTTGTTTTGGTACTGGAGATTTAACCCAGGGGCGCTTTACCACTGAGCTACATTCCTAGCCCTGTGTATTTTTTATTTTGAGACAGGGTCTCACTAAGTTGCTTAGGGCCTCACTAAGTTGCTGAGTCTGTTCTTGAATTTTCGATCCTCCTGCCTTGCTACCTTATGTTTTTAAGGGATCCACAGCACTCTGTAGTAAAGAATCCTGTTATATATGAACTCATTTTCCTTTCTATTGACATTTGGTGTGTTGTCAGTTTTACTTTGTTACAAGCATATCTGCTTTGGATATCTTATATACATATTAAGTAATTCCTATAATAGAAACTCTTCCTAACCTTCCATTTTGACTTTTTTTTTAATATTTATTTTTTAGGTTTAGGTGGACACAATATCTTTATTTTACATTTATGTGGTGCTGAGGATCTAACCCAGTGCTTTGTGCATGCTAGGCAAGCATTCTACCACCGAGCCACGACCCCAGCCCTTGACTTGTTTTTTAAAAGTCACCATTGATGTCACTAAAAATTTCTTGTGTAAGACTGGGGGTGGGGGGGGGCAAAAACAAAAAGACTCTAGGGAATTTTTAAACTAATATGCAAGTTCTGGTTTGAAAGATAATCTCAGTATGGCAATATGTAAATCAATGGATGTGTAACTGATGTGATTCTGCAATCTGTATATGGGGTAAAAATGGGAGTTCATAACCCACTTGAATCAAAGTGTGAAATATGATATATCAAGAAATATGTAATGTTTTGAACAACCAACAATAAAAAATTAAAAAAAAAAAGAAAGAAAGAAAGATAATCTCAGCATTTTCCTTAAGCCCATTTCCAAAGCTGTAGTCACTCATTATGTCTAACATTCTACCTTTCTGAATAAAGACATTCTTTCTTTTCTGACTAAGAGGATAAAGGGATGATAAAGCATTCACTCAGACTTCATCTTTTCCCTTCATGGGCTGGATTTAGTATATTCTCTATTTAAGGACACATGAATCTGTGCTTTTAAAAATTTGGCTGCCAGTTTGCTGTTTGTAGCATTGGAGCATGTATTGTAGTGAAGTATCTTCTTAATTCAAAGATGTGTAATTCTAAGGCTGAAATATTTTATTCTTATGAATAGACTTAATACACTTTGGAATTCTAGATTTTAAAAAATTCTCCACATTATAACTTTGAAAACATTTATTTTTAATTTTTTAGTTGTAGATGGACACAATACCTTTATTTTATTTATTTTTATGTGGTGCTGAGGATCAACCCCAGTGCCTCACATATGCCTCAGCTCTACCACTGAGCTACATACAGCCTTAGCCCTCCATATTATAATTTTAAAGATCTTTAATTTAGACTCCCCCCCTTTTCAAGCATCTAAGCTCATTCAATAAAGACAGTTGAGAGAGAATCTAAACACTGAAAAATATTGTATAGCATTTATTTTTTTTAAATATTTATTAGTAGATGGACCTTTATTTTATTCATATGTGGTACTGAGAATGGAACCCAGTGCCTCACACATGTGAGGCAAGCTCTACCATTGAGCCACGATCCCAGCCCATAACATATTCTTTAGTCACTATTTTTATGCTTGCATGACCATCTTTTTTTTTAAAAAATGTAGGATTTTGAGACTCACACAAAACTGTTTCAGTGCCTTTCACAGTGTTCCATTGTAACTCTTGATCTACTGTGATGAGTTTGTGATGCCGGTTGTGACTGTATGCCATCATGCCCTTTTTTGTAGGCCGCATCTACAAGTGCTTGTTTACTGGCTCCGTGAGCTCACTACTGACACTGCCGCTAGACATGCTCTCAACGTGAGTATTAAATCCGTGTGACAATGAAAGTTGTGCAAAATAACTTGTACTGTTTTTTTTTTCTTAATTTTTATTAGTAATTTGAAAATAATTGTTTTTGAAAGTAATTTATTCTTTTGTTCCAAGGACAGTTATTCATACTTCTTATGCTAACAATTATAACTGCGGAAGTAGCTAAAATATATAAATGATTCTTTTAAAACATAACCCCTTTTATATTTTAATGGCTCTCACACAGTTTGAGGTATTTACTATTTTTATAGGTTGAGAATAATTTAAATATGTTCTTGAGATTATTAGAATATACATGCTAAAAACTTGTCATTATGGCTGTCTCATTGTATCATAATTTGGTATTAAGCATTGTTGCTTGCCTTATGTTGGCAGGCTCCATATTTTCCCTGTCCTGATAGGCTTGTGTGCATCTCAGTGCACCTTTGTTACACCACTGAATGCTAGAGGCCTGGTGGGGATGGACAAAAGAAATTGTTATCACAGCTTTTTTTCTGTACCCTGAATAGTGCTTTTTTTTTTTTTTCCTTCTTTATAGAGTATAGAGTAGATCTATTTTTCCTGAAAATTTACTTTAAATTTCCTTAATATCTTAGCGGTTGCTGTGTATTCCATAACTCAGTTCTTGGGGTCATCTCAAGGCATACCATTTCAGTTTTCTTTTACGGAAGAACAAACTCTCTGAAACTTGGTGGTTTCAAAGAACCACCATTTTATTTGCTCAGAGGTCTCAGAAATTGGGTTTGGCTCATCCAAGTTTACCTGTGGAGCTTGCCTGAGCTGTTCATGTATTTTATTGGGGCTTGATTATCTAAGATGGTCCTGGCTGAGATGACTTGGTTCTCCTTTACATGACTTCTCATCTTCCAGAAGGCTGGTTGGGGGGAGTCTTTACACAGTGGGCTCAGGACAGCATTAAAAGGGTGAATGAAAGTAGACTCCCAAGCTGCCTTCTTGGGCAACATCCAGGCAATAAACAAAACCAGTCTAGATTTGTTAGTTTGTTATCATTTAAAACCTGCAGGAGCCATTCATATTCTCATTGCTGATGGCAAAGAAGAAGTAGAAGATATTTTGGTCTCAACACATTAGAATTTTAATGGTCTACAAAGTTCCTTAGCAATAAGTGATTAAGATTCCCCCTTTTGATTTATGAGCTATTGCAGACAATAACCCTTAGGAGACACACCAGTGCAATTATAGTTTGGAGCTACTAGGTCATGCTCCCAGGTTGACCCTTGTTCAGATTTTCAATGGAGGAAAAAATCATTTATTCCATTAAAATAGTGGATTTTCTAAAGACTGCCAAGATAATTTTGAGTTATCTTTATTTTGAAATTATGGGTGTAGGTAAGGAAGGATAAGCTCTTCAGAGAGGAGAACCAAGGAACCAGAACCAAGGGATCTTCAGTATTATATAGCATTTCATGTATTTTTATGTATTAAACTAAAAATACTTTGCCTATTTGGACTTATTGAGGAACTAACATACTTTGTTATATTTGCAGTTAGTATCAAATCTTGATTTGTTTTCTAAGTGAAAATTTTCTATAAAGTGTATCATAGACTTCTTTTGTCTTATACATGGCATACAGGAAACCTGTCTGGAGAAGCTTCATTCTTTTTCTGATTTGATGATTCTGTTAGTTTGTATGGACTTAGGTAAATGCTAGGTTTTTGAAGTTATAAGTAAAAGAAGAACAAGGAAATTCTTTGTAAGGGTTTGAGAAGGTTGTTCACTTTTGGTAAATTCAGTGCTTAACCTTTGTCAAGTGTTTGCTGTTTACTTTCTGTCTTCTGTTTCTTGACCAAGTTAAAGGATAGGCTGTGAATAGTTAATTGCTATGTAGTTCTGATGTTATGTCTACTATGTTACAAAAATAGATACAATATAAATATATATTAGCTTTTAAAATAGGTTGAATTTCACCATCATTTCAAATAATTCTTTTGGAGAAACTGCTTTTCACCCCCCAAAGTTAGATTTTTCTGACTGTTTTTACAAGTATTCTTTGGAGTAATTATATATAATTTTTTTTAAATAGGGAAAATTTGTTGGCGGATTGTTTGCAGGGTTGTTTTGTGGTGACGTGCACATTGTGTGCGTTCATCAGCCTGGTGTGGTTGCGAGAGCAGATAGTCCACGGGGGAGCCCCGATTTGGTTGGAACATGCTGCTCCACCCTTCAATGCTGCTGGACACCACCAAAATGAGGTAACCTCCCATCCCTGAACTTGACTTCACTTGAGTAGGACATGAAAATTATGGTTGCCCGTAAGATTCAAACCCTTGACTCCCATGTGCCTCATAAATGTTCTTTTGCCATTTCAAAGGAGTATATCAGAAAGGTTTGGAAGAAGATTAAGAGAAATAAGAAAAACCAATAGAATGCTTTCATGATTTTTGCCTCTTAATTTTCTTGCTAGATTGGCCAAAAAAAAAAAAAAAAAAAAAAAATGGATGTCACACTAAAATGTTCTTCCTCTTTTTTTAAAAACCAGGGATTGAACCCAGGGGCGCTTAAACACTGAGACACATCCCCAGCCCTTTTTTATGTTTTATTTTGAGACAGCCTTGGCTGTGTTACTTACGGCTTTGCTAAGTGGCTGAGGCTGGCTTTGATCTTGGGATCCTCCTGCCTCAGCCTCCCGAGCTGCTGGGCTAACAGACATGCGCCACTGTACCTGGCTGTTGTTCCATTTTCTTTCCTTGGGTGAATTGTTCAATTCACGCCTAGAAGTTAAGATACAACTTACTGGATATGTTTCTTACATGCTGTGTAACATTAAGGAGGCCTCCCTACTTCTTCGCTTATATGTTCTTCATATGAAAAATGCCTTGCCTTTCCTGTCTTGTAGAAACATTATCAAAAGTAGAAAAATTGGAATATTGTTGATAATCTAGTGCAGTTACATTTTTTTCTTTATGGGTTATGACATGCTTAGATACAAGAGTGTTTGTTAGTGGTATTAAGAAGAGGGCAAAGCCAAGTTCATTGGAATGAACCTATAGTTCTAACTGCTCAGGAGGCAGAGGTAGGAGGATTTTCTGTTTGAGGCCACTGTGGACAGCATAGACTCTTATCTTTTTTTTTTTTTTTTTTTTTTTTTTAAAGGAAGATGTAAAAAATAATTTTTAGTGTCTTGCTTGCTGAGAAATTATGGGTCTGAAAATGTTATATAGATTAGCTGTTTGCTTGGAAAGGGAATAATTTATACTTTATAAAATTTTATTATGAAAAAGCTATATAGTAAATTAATAGCTTAATGTTTGCTTTTAGGACCTGCTTTTTTCAGTGTGTAGATTGATTTCATCAAAGTCTACCGTTTCGTTTTTCTTTTTAAAGTGTAACTTTGAAAAGCATAACAGAAAATAAGACTATAAACTCACGCTGTTCTTATGTAAGATTAACATGTTTATATTGGACCTCTTTAAAAAAAAATTTTTGTGTGTGTGTGGTTGTAGATGAACAGAATGGCTTTATTTGTTTTTATGTGGTGCTAAAGATTGAACCCAGTGCCTCACACATGCTAGGCAAGCTCTCTGCTACTGAGCTACAACCCCAGCCCTGTACCTTACATATTGAAGCATTTTATACTGCTTAGTTTTAGGATCCTCATTAAATCATGGGAGTTGTGGGGGTTTTCTTGTTTGTTTTGTTTTTTGCATTACTGAAGACTGAACCCAGTGCCTCACATAAGCTAGGCAAGTATACCAGTGCTGAGTTAAATCTTCAAATTGCCTCAGCTTCCTGAGTAGCTAGAAATATAGGTGTGCATTATCACACCTGGCTGGGAGTTGTATTTTAACTTAACTGTCATTAGCTACACTTATATCTTCACATTTGATAAGTACCAGAACTTAAAAAGAGTCAGAGAAGGATGTATTTAGTAAAAGTCCATATGTGCATTCTTACCCTTACTGACTGAGAAGAAATTAGAAACCATTTCCTTTAGTTTTTAAAGTGAAAATGGAATTAAGTTTTACATATGTATGTGTAAATTTTTAAAAAAGGTGTTTTCGTCTCTGAGAAATAGTAAAAACAGGAGATAGATAGATGTCTTATAAAAAAGGATTACAGAATGTGTTCGAGATACCCAGATTTGTAAACTTACTTTCTATAATGCTTTGTGAAATGTTAATCCTTAAGTTAAACTAAGTGAATATGTGTATTGTAAAGTGAGTTTTTTAAAAATATATATACCAAGTTGATCCAAAATCAGATACATTTAGAAAAGGTGACTCTGAAGGAAAAAAAATTAAAAGGTGACTCTGAAGGTTTTTATTTTTTAATGTTAGTTGGGTTTGTGTTTGCTAATTTTGTTTTTTTAAGGGAGAACACAATTTGGAAATGAAGCCAACTGATGAGTTAGCTAAACTTCTGGGCTCTTCTGTCACTTTAGGCTCCAGCAGGAGGAAATGGTGCAGAAAATGTTGCTCCTGAGCAACCTGCTAACCCACCAGCTGAGAATGCAGTGGTGGGAGAAAACCCTGATGCGCAGGATGATCAGGCGGAAGAGGAAGAGGAAGACAACGAGGAGGAAGATGATGCAGGCGTGGAAGATGCAGCCGATGCTAATAATGGAGCCCAGGGTAATGGTGCTTTTGCGCCCTTACTCTTTCTTCAAGACCATATATCCATTGGGTTGAAGAGAAAAGGACTAGAGTTTTCAAATTTTAATATCATAAAGTTATCTTTCTAACCTATTTTTACTCTGACAGACCGTCACTTATGGCTACGCATATGCATAAATATGTTTTTTTTCCTATGCAGTACGGAACATTTTGTGTTTTATATACTTATACAGAATTTTTTTTTTTAAAAGAATATGATACATGTTTACCTCATTTCTCTTTCCATTTCCATTGATTTAGTACAGCTTGTAAAATTGGAAAAGATCTTGAAGTTTATGTTGCAGGCCAGGTGCCATCATTTTTACCTATTTTTAATTTTCTAGCAGATTAAATTCTGGAATGTAAAAAGTAAGATCCAAGACTGGATCTGCCAATCATCTGTTAGTGGCTCACTGTCTCTTCTCTCTTCTACTGCAGAGTTTTCCTGTTAAGCACTCTATTGTCTCTGGATCCACTTGACATGGTGGATATTTGAGTGTTTCTGTGTGACAGACACTCTTTGAGATACCACGTACATAGTTGTGAACAGAACATTAGGTCACTGTCCTCAGGGAGTTTCTGGTTTAGGGAAGAGGTACACATTGGGATAAGTGTCATTCAGGTTGCTATATTATCTAAGGTTTCCTTGGAAATTCAGAGTAAATTACTTTTAACCTAAGATCTGAAGAGTGAGAAGAAGCAGGTTGTATAGTGGGAACAGTGGGCCTTTGCAGGGAAAGATCAGAGGCTCTGAGAATACAACCTTTTCTTACTCCTAGTACCTTGTCATCATCTCTCTTGGTCTGCTGCATTAACTGATAAGTAGTCTTCCTCTTTGCATGTGTGCACCACATGGTTCCTATTACTCTCCTGCCTATTTCAGTGCTTTTCCCACTGTACTAAAGAATAAAATGAAATCCAGATTCTACATTTCTTTTATGTGATCCCTGTCCACTTTTCATACTTATATCTTCCACTACTCTGTTCATCACTGAGAAAGTTAGAATCCTCTGGCTTCCTTCCTTTCCTTAGATCTTCCATATTTATTCCTGATTCAGAGTTGCTGAAGTCCCTCTTTTTCACATAACTCTATTTCTTTTCTAGCACTTATCACAGTCTAGTATCACCTTATCTTATATGTACTGCTTACTTTAAGGTATGTATTTTTAGGTAGCATTTACTGTGTAACAAGCAAATAGTGTGGAAAAATTTTAAATGTTATTTAGCTTCTCAATATGATCTTATACCTAAAAGAATGCATTTTATTATTTATAGTTCAATTTCCACCCCTAATCTTTAATCTGCAATTATGTTTCCAGATGACATGAACTGGAATGCTTTAGAATGGGACCGAGCTGCAGAAGAACTCACATGGGAAAGAGTAAGATAAGATCTCTTTCTGTCACAATTCTGGCATTTAATCCTAAAGTATATTTTTAAATTGGGCATATTTAGATGTGTGCACTAATTTTGTAGAAAATAATTACCAGATTTTTTTTTTTTTTTTTGTATAGAACATTGTACTATTTGTGGTAAAAATATAGAAACTGATGATTTTCTATTTTTTGGTCTTTATTGTAAAGCTTGCTTCATAGTTTCACCTGAAAGTGTGACTTAAAAAAAATTTTTTTTTTTTTTTAGTTGTATATAAACACAATACCTTTATTTATTTTTATGTGGTACTGAGAATTGAACCCACTGCCTCACACTGGCTAGGCGAGCGCTGTACCACTGAACCATAACCCCATCCTGAAAGTGTGAACTTTTGAAAAACTAAGAAGCAACTTAAATTTAAGTAGTAAATTTAAATTTTCACACTTCATTTGACAAAATAATGTATTTTTATCATGAAATCTTGACTGGCTTTCTGTCCAATGGAAGAATTAAACTCATGGTGGAATTTTTTTAGATGTTATATGCAAATGACTTGAAATAAAAGGACACCCAAAATATAAAACTCCGGTAGTCAGAGTTTTTTACATTCCAAAAATGACAGGCTGTATTGGAAAGTAGTGGATGAAGGCTATATTTAAAGATACTAAAAGAAAACCTATTTTATAAGAGTAGAAATCTTGTTGCATCTTGAACTAATGCACACTATTATTATGTATTTTAGATGCTAGGACTTGATGGATCACTAGTTTTTCTGGTAAGTAAAACTATATTTAATAAAAGAACGGTGAATTACTTGTCTTAGTGATTCAATAACTTCAGATATATAGTATGTGCTCCTTTTTTATACTAAAGGTCAAAATGCCCTTTGGTTTTTGATTACTTCATGTTTGAAGACTATATTATATATGTGTGTGTATTAAATTTTTTTAGTTGTCAGTGGACCTTTATTTTATTTATTAATATGCGGTGTTGAGAATTGAACCCAGTTTTCATTCATGCTCTACCACTGAGCCACAATTGCAGCCCCTAAAGACTATATTTTATGTGTTAAGTATTGGAGAGGCATAAAGGTATTATTATTTATAAAGGAAGTTATTTAATATTTGACTTTTAAAGAACTTATTTTTTAGTTGTAGTTTGATAAAGTATCTTTATTTTATTTACTTATTTTTATATGGTACTGAGGATCAAACCCAGGGCCTCGCACAAAAGCTAGGCAAGCGCTCTACTGCTGAGCCACAATCCCAGCCATTTGATTTTGTTTAAAAAAGAAAATGGAGTCTAAAATTAATGGTGTTAATAGAATTTGAATTCTTGGGCTGGGATTGTGGCCAAACAAATTTGAATTCTTCTAAAGTTCAGTCTTGTACTTAATGCCTGTACCAGTGAAAGCAAAACAACTTTATATTCTTTTACAGTAAGAACCATAGTCTGACCTTAGGTTTCTACTGTTTACTCAGCCCCACCCGTCTTTACCTAGGAACTGACTAAAGGGTGGGTGATGTGGCTGGACGAATAGATGGATCAGCAGTCATTGTGGACGTGATCATATGGCCATGAGAGAATATGTCTCTGAGATAGGAACAAAGAAAGCCAGGGCATCAGGAGGAGAGGAGGGATCAGAGCAGGTCATGCTAGTGTTTTTCCAAGGGGAGGGAGCCGAACAACAGTGACCTTGCTGAAGTTATGAAAACAGAACGGACACTGAAAGAAGCGCTCTGCAGTTTACATTAGCGCATTGTTTCTAATATGATTTTCAGATTTTGCTTCACTTGAAATTTTTCAGTTTTTGTCTTAAATCTCAGTTTTTGTGAAAATCTATGGTTTATAAATTAATTTGTTCTTTTATGTGTAAAACTATGAACTTTGAATTTTACTAGTCTTAGTTTTATGAGCTATCAGAAAAATGAAAAGTTGTACAGTTTCTAGATGGAAATTTCAAAATTATGGAGCAAAATTTCAGTCTTAGTTATTTTCAGTATTTGATAGCTGATTAATGGAGTAGTTCAGTCAAATATGTCATACTAAACATGAACTCACTGTGCTTTGTTAACATTCATTTTAGGAACACGTCTTCTGGGTTGTGTCTTTAAATACACTGTTCATTCTTGTTTTTGGTAAGTTGTGTTTATGCTTTTACTTTTTATGATCTAATGGGAGGAGTTTGGTTTTCTAGGTGTCTTTTTACAGGTTTTCATTTCATTAGTAATTTAGGAATATTAAGAAATACACAGTGCAGGTTTAGCAGCCAGATCCCTAGTAGGTTCGCTTTTTTTTCTTAATGATTGAGGCAACCCTTTTTTAAGAATCTACCATGCTGCTTATTTTTGTTATAAAGAAAAGATAATTAAATTTTAGAAGAGCAAAGTAAAATTTGGCAAAAAGGGTTTGAAAAAGAACATAAAAGTTCATACCATGAACATTTTAAGGATTTTTTTTAACTATAGTGCCATTTCACATTTTTCAAAATTATTATTATTCATTTAATATTTCCTAATCATCTTTAAAATTCACAAGTTCCCTTAAATGTATTATTATTATTATTGTTGTTGTTATTATTATTATTTGGTATCGGAGATTCACTAATTCACTCAACCACTGAGCCACACCTCCAGCCTTGTTTTGTATTTTGTTTAGAGACAAGGTCACACTGAATTGCTTAGTGCCTTGCCATTGCTGAGACTTGCTTTGAACTCACGATCCTCTTATCTCAGCTTCCTGAGCTGCTGGGATTACAGGCGTGCACCACCACTCCTGGCTTTAATGCCATATTATAATTGATTTGTTTGAGGATCCAAATATGGTTCACACATTACTTTTAAGACTTAAATTCCTTTTAATCGAGAGTATGCTTCTCTTTGCCCCAACTCACCCTATCCTATTTGCCATTGTTTTGTTGATGAGATTAGGTTAGCTGTACTTTACATTTACAGTGACATATTCTGTATGATATATTCACATAATCACATGCAACTGCTTCCTGGATGTCCTCTGCCCTCATCCTTTGACTCACATGTTTTCCATAACTTGGAAGTCAGATTTAAAGGCAAGATTAGATACCAGGATTAGTGAATTTATGACAGTTTCTTCACTGCTCACATTAATACTACGTTTGAGGAGATACATAGTGTTTATTTTTCCATTTTTATTAGTGGACTCAGGAGATACCAATCTAAACTCCCCCCACCCCGGGTTTTTGGTACAGGATTGAACCCAGAGCCACTTAACCACTGAGCCACCCACCCACAGCCCTTTTTTATATTTTATTTTGAGGTAGGGTCTTGCTAAGTTCCTGATGTTGGCTTTGAACTCATTAACTTTTTGCCTCAGCCTCCTGAGCTGCTGGGATTATAGGCATGTGCCTCGTGCACTGCTGAACCTCTATTCTGAAATCCCAGTTTTCTCTTTACCTGATAAGATTATGTATGAGATGACATTTTAGTATCATGAAAGTAGAAGGTTTCATCTTCCTTTTAACTAATGATTTTATTAACTCTTTAATTCTACCCTTGGTCTTAGACATAAGGCTGAGAACCAACTCTTGATGATCCTTGCCTGAATCATTTATTAGGTGTTACAAAATACTGATTTTTCAAATTGTTGTTTTATTTTTTTTAAAGAGAGAGGCGAGAGAGAGAGAGAATTTTTAATGTTTATTTATTTTTTTTTAGTTTTTTTTTTTTTGGCAGACACAACATCTTTTGTTTGTATGTGGTGCTGAGGATTGATCCCAGGCCGCACGCATGCCAGACGAGCACACTACCGCTTGAGCCACATCCCCAGCCCAAATTGTTATTTTTAAAAAATTTTTATTGGCAGATTTTTCTATAAAGATTTCATTCTTGCCAGGTGCGGTGGCACACACCTGTCATCCCAGTGGCTTGGGAGGGTGAGATAGGAGGATCACGAGTTCAAAGCCAGCCTCAGCAATGGCGAGGCACTAACCTAAGACCCTGTGTCTAAATAAAATACAAAATAGGGCTGGGGATATGGCTCAGTGGTCAAGTGCCCCTGAGTTCAATCCCTTGAACCGCCACCCCCCACACCAACAAAAATTTATTCTAATCAACTGGTCCAGTTCTGTATCTTCCATTTCTCAAAGAAGCCCTGGTTCCTTTTAGTGGGGGATTATACTAGGGGTGCTCATTGTTTTGATGTTGTAGTTTTCCTGTTTTTTTCCCCTCCTTTTTAGCATTTTGCCCTTACCACAGTTAACATGAACTTTGTTGCTTAGGAGAAGCCAGGTAGATGCTCAGTTTTTTCCCTTTATTTATCAGTTTTCAGACTAAGCAGTATATGCATAACTACTACCTTTGTGTGCTAACTACTTCCAAAAAATTAAAACATTTTCTGTGATGTTGCTGTTTTTTCTTTTATGGATGTTATTTTGGGCTTTCCCTATTTTTGAGTATCATGAACTTCTAGATATGTATGTTTGGTGTGCGTCTATAAATTTTGGTCATTAGATTTTTTTTGTTGTTGTTTGTTTTAATCATCCTTTCTTAAAGAGACCCATAATACCCTCTTCACGGTGTTTCCTGTGTCCTTTTGACATGGTCTTATTAGACCTTGATAACTTTATTATTCTCTGGTTATAATGTCCTAGGTGCAATACATTTTTGGTCCAGGTCTGAATCTTCCATTTCTCAAAGAAGCTGGTTCCCTTTAGTGGGGGACTATACTAGGGGTGTTCATTGTTTTGATGTTGTAGTTTTCATATATTTTTCCCCCTCCTTTTTAGCATTTTGCCCTTACCACATTGGTCATTTCTCCCTTGTTGGTTTGGGATTTGAAGAACATGTGAGTATAATACTTCTACAAACTTACTTTTGTTAATTACTCCCAAATTTGATATTTTCTGAGTAAGTAATAATTTTCAAAAGAGTTACTTCATGTTTTAGTCAGCCTTCTACAAAGGAATGGCTTGCCAACACAGTCTTATCCATTTCTTTTAGAGCTATAACAGTTGATCAGTAGATGGTAGGATATATGATGCCAGCTAACAAAGATATGCTTTGAAATGTCTGGTCTTTCTGTTGCACAGGCCTAAGGCACTACTGTGGGAGAGTTTTCCACATGCTGACGTTCTAGCCACTTTATGAACTAGAATGTTCCTTTCTCTTCCTAGATGACCCATAGGGAATTTAGAAAATTAATAATATATCAATCAGTTGTTAAAAAAGGGAATATGTCCATTTTAGAATGATGGGCTATAGTGTTTTTTGAAGAATCTACTTGAATTTGGACATTTTATCATTATTTTCCAGAGATAGATATTTGAATGGTTTACTACTCCTTTTGGGGGGACCTCAGAAGGACTTAGTCTTTGAAGAAGAACTGGCTGGGATCTTCTGTTCAATTTTTCATATATGAGATCTGATAGATCACTTTTGGAAGCATTTCAATTTTTAATACAGTTCCCAGTTCTTACTAGTTGCATACAAGAACTTGAAAGGTTCAGATAAATGTTTTGATAAGTTTTTGTTGCCATTTGCTGTTTAAAACTTGGGAACCAAAAGATATAGATGGGCAGCATTTGTCATTCTCCAAATTCCTATTCCCTGTAAGTCAACAGAACGCATTTAGAGAGCAAGGGAAGCTTAAACAATGTTTCTAATGGTAGAGAATGAGATGGTTAGGATGTTGTCAGGTAGGTGGGTGATAGGCTGCTTGGACAATAGACTGCTGCTTTGGTGTTCAGTCTTCAGCAGATCCACCTGGTAGCCAGCCTAGAGGCAAACTGTTGTATTACAGTGGTCTAATTTTTGTCAAATTTCACTCACTCTGTTATTTTGGCACCTTGGGTAAAATATTATTCTTTAGTTCTTCTTCATCTTTGAATAATATATAGTATTCTGGGAAAGTTACCTTGCAAATATATTATCCCAAAGGATTTTACAGTCATTTTCCAGTTATATATTGCCTAGGTGTTTCACTTTTGATCATCTGAATTGCTAATACAGTGATAAAACTGGGGTATAGGCTATGTGATAAAGTTAAATTTTTATTTATTTCTGTTTTATTTCCAGGTCCAAGCATCTCATTTTGAAGGCCTAATCACAACCATAGTTGGGTATATACTTTTAGCAATAACACTGATAATTTGTCATGTATCCTTTAATGAATCAAATTGAATGGGCAGTATAAAGAGTTGTTTTTATTAGTAATAGAACTGTTTTCCTTCCCCTTGTCATCTTAGTAAATGTTGTAATATTTGTAGTAAGAGTGAGGGTGAACAAAATGTGAAATGATATTTGTCAGAAAATATTGAGTATAATCTAAATAGTTTCCTGTTTTATTGTACCCTTCAGTGTTCAGTTTTTCCTTGACTAAATGCTTCAGGGCTTGGCAACTCTTGTTAAATTTCATAGGTCTCGTCGCTTACTAGGAGTCTGCTATATTGTTGTTAAGGTAACTCCTTTTTGTAAGTTAAAACTGGAAGTGGTTTCTTCTACATTTGGGTGATATGATAACATTTATTTTTTACTTCAAAGGTCTCTTTGTTAGTGGTGGTAGAAATTGGAGTGTTCCCTCTCATTTGTGGCTGGTGGCTGGATATCTGTTCCCTGGTAAGTGGAGTATTCTTTATCATATAATCTCATAATTTCAAGGTTTCAAAAAAGAAAGTCTTCAAGATAGTTTTCTTTAAAAAAAAATTATATATATTTGGCATTAGGGATTTAACCTAGGGATGCTCTACCACTTCCTAGGCCTATTTATTTTTTATTTTGAGACAGAAGTTATTTAGAGCCTCACTAAATTGCTGAGATTGACTTCAAACTAGTGATCCTCCTGCTCAGTCTTCTAAGTCACTGGAATTACAGGCGTGTGCCACCATGCAGGGCTTAAAATAGATTCCTTTTATAGGAAGCAAATATTTGAAAATTTACTTATTCTCATTGAAAATGTATCACTATAGAATCTTAATATTGATTTCTCTAAGCTATTATCAGTGGTGTTTTTTTTTTTTTTTGAAGCTCTGTATTTTCAGTGTCATGGTATTTTGATTGGGATGTTCTTAATAGCCAGTGGAGATTTTTATTTATTCCTTCTAAATTTTATGATAATGCCAGTCATTTCTTTTAACTAAGATGCTCAGTCATTATCTCTATTGGCTGTTAGTGATAATCAGTTTTTTTAATTTTTCAAAAAAATTTTATGTGTAGAAAAGCTGCTTTTGGTTCTGAGGTAAACATTTAACCCTCTTCATTACTATTAAAAATTCTTGTGAATGCAGACCCATAACCAAGATAGGAAGCCTTACATTAATTAAAAATGGTTCTTTTACAGTTACACCATTAGTAAAGCTCTTACCTACTAATTGGTTTGTCATTTTTTTTTTTAATGTTTGGAAGTTTGAAAGTGTATATGCATCTTTTGAAGTAATACCCAGTTGTATGTCACGAATATACTGTGAAATGGCATAAAGAGAACTGCAGCAGGGTGCGGTGCGGTGGCGCACTCCTGTGATCTCAGCGGCTCTAGAAGCTGACAGGATTGTGAGTTCAAAGCCTGCCTCAGCAAGTTAGTGAGGTCCTAAACAACTCAGTGAGACTATCTCTAAGTAAAATTTAAGAAAGGGCTGGGTATTATGTGGCTCAGTGTTTAAGCACTGCTGGGATCAATTCATGGTACCAACAAAAGAAAAAGAAAAAAAAAGAACTGCAGCTCTAGAACATCATACCTTATGTATATAGTGATTTATTTACTTATTAGAAGGTGGAGATGTTAATTTGACAAATATAGGTGGTACATATCTCTTTTACCTGTTCTATTTTGACTTAGGAAATGTTTGATGCTACTCTGAAAGATCGAGAACTGAGTTTTCAGTCGGCTCCAGGTACTACCATGTTTCTACATTGGCTAGTAGGAATGGTGTATGTGTTCTACTTTGCCTCCTTCATTCTGTTACTGAGAGAGGTAAGTTCTACAGGGAAATGCTGATGCTGTACAACCAGTTATGCTTCAAAGGCTGTGATAATTTCCTAACTAAACTATATTCTCTATTATTTTAGGAGGGAATAACTCATAGGGAATTATTGACTTGATTGCTCTAAGCTATTTTCAGTGGCTTCTGTCAAAAATTGACAGATTAACAATTTTCCAATATGATTATACTGAGGAAAACAAGCTTGTTTTACTTTGTAGAGATCAGTACCCATCCTTTTAATCTAAAGTCTTTGAGTTGGTGTGATACAAGTCTGTCTCAGATTTCATTCAAGAAAATGTAATACTGGGAATAACTCCAAAAGATAAAGTTTTGTAGAATTGAATATGTAAGTTTTGAAGCAGGCACCTTAAGTATATAGAATTACAGTAAAGGTCCTTTTATGATTCCAATTTATGATTGCAGTTCACTTGCCAGATTGGTCCATCTACTGATCCTAGTTTCAGAACTGGCCCTTACTGTTTGGAAGAGAAGGAGAGCAGATTAGTATTTATTTATTTTTTAAATGATTTTTTTTAGTTGTAGATGGACATAATACCTTTCATTTTATTTTTATGTGGTACTGAGGATCAAACCCAATGCCTCACACACATGCAAGGCAAGTGCTCTATCACTGAGCTAGAACCACAGCCCAGCAGATTAGTATTTAATTAGTATACATTTCAAGCCAATTGCCAGATTCTGTTCTGTATGCCGAGGTTATAGAAATAAAGGCAGGATTCCTGTTCTCTATTCCTAGGATTGGATATAGCTATTCAACAAAGTCAGTTTACTGAGAGCAATGAGGGAGATGTGCAGGGCTAGGAGAACAGACCAGAAATACAAAAATTATGAAGTCTGAATGCTGTTCATGATATACTTTGCTCTTTGAAATATTCGAGGAGGGAAGCAGGTGGGGCTAAATTCTTCTGAATCATGTAGTGACTCAAACAAGTGATTGAGACTAAAGAAAGTACAGTAATGTTTTTAAAAACAAATTATATGTGAATACTAAATTTCACTGTTAACATGATAAAATTTTTTGTTTTTGTTTTCAATTTATAGTTTATTGAGTCCATGTATGAAAACGTCACAGATATGCAGGCTTTGTTAAAATTAAATGCTTTTTGAATCTGAAAAAAAAAAAATAGAAGTAACATATTATAAACTTTGGATGGCAGCTATCTGTATGATTTTCCTTGATGATTTAGATTGATTCCTGTATCAGATGCTTTCAGTTAATTTATTTCTTCGTCTTTTATTTTCTAAACCAACTTCAGTTTAGGTGTTCAGAACTCAATGCCCAAGACAAACACACCTACTTGAATACTGTTATTTCTCAATACCCAATCAGTGTTTTGTCATCTATATTTATATAATATACTGAACACAGATGTAGCTATAGTTACGTGCTCATCCAAAATATCCTGAGTTACACATCAATTAGAAACTATTAATGACCTGAAATATTAATATACATTTAAGTTAGCATATAAATCTAGTTCCAGAGGTACTCATTCATAAACCAGATTTCTATTCCTAACTAAATAATAGCATAATGAATGTGTGTATAGTATGTATATCATACACATTGTATGGCATAATTAGAAAATTAACTTTCTTGGAATAAAAAAATAAATCTATAACCAGTAATACATCATTATAAAACTAAAACTTTAAACAACTGGGATAAGAATAAAGTTTCATGAAAATATAGACAATAAGTAATGTAGAAACAAGGAAATGTGATTCCCAGCATGGTGGGCCTCAGCATCATGAAACATGGCCCTGGTCCTAGTCTGGCCTGTCCAATAACTCAGAAATCCTTTTGGATAAAATATTTTATAATTAAGTTTTTTATTTTATTAATGTGGACTTTTGTTGGCACATAACCCTAATGTCAGGGAGTTAGAAACTCATGTATTTTTTAAAAAGTGTATTTTTAGCTGTAGGTGAACACAATATCTTTATTTATTTATTTATTTTTATGTGGTGCTGAGGATCGAACCCAGTGCCTCATATGCTCCAGGCAAACACTCTACCACTGCGCCACAATACCAGCCCAAGATCATATATTGTTACTACCTCAATTGGTAGATCGGAGAAATATAGGCTTAGACAGAATAGATGCTTTACATAGGGTAATTTTTGGAGTTTGAACCCTGAAGGCATAGTACCCAGCCTCATATATTTCCTCAGAGCCTTTTGTGTGATGATTTCCATTCAGAAGGGGGAAAAAAAAGATAATAAAATGAAGATACTAAGAAGTTATAGGATTTTTTTTTTCCTTTCTTTTTCTTTGGTATTGGGGATTGAACTCAGGGGTGTTTTACCACTCGTCAACATCCCTTTTCTTTCTTATTATTTTATTTTGAGCAAGAGTCTTGCTAAGTTGTTGAGGCTGGCTTTGAATCTGCAGTCTTTACCTTAGCCTCCCAGGTCATTGGGATTATAGGCATGTGTCCCTGTGCCCAACAGAATTTAATTAAGATAACTCCTCTGGGGAACTGTAAAACTGAAATCACATCTACTCTTTGGACACTAAGTTGTAACATAATCCTTTTCCTAGGTGATAACAAGTTAGTTCTGATTGTGTTTAATTTTCTATTTAAATTTCTTAACAAATTGAATTCTGAATTTTTTCCCCCTAGTGAAATGATTAAAACCATCACAGGTTGTCAAACCACAGGTCTGTTTTCATAAATACTAAAGTTTAGGAACTTTTTCCCATGAAAATCATATGAATTTTATGGAACCTATTTTAAATACCAGAATGATTTCAGGAGCGTATTTTTCAGTAATGTTTTAACTCATTACAGAACCTATAGACTTTGGAGGTTATTTATAACACTTAAAATATATTTACAGGTACTTCGACCTGGTGTCTTATGGTTTCTAAGAAATTTGAATGATCCAGATTTTAATCCAGTACAGGAAATGATCCACTTGCCAATTTATAGGCATCTCCGAAGATTTATTTTGTCAGTGGTGAGCAGACTTTTCCATTTTTCTTTTTGAATAAAGTGTGCTATTCTTCAGTTTCATTTAATGGGGTTTTTGTTGTTGATTTTGGTTCAGGAGGGCTGATAGAGTGTTGATAGATTACACTTATCTAAGCCTGTGGAACTCATTTGTCAAATAGCTGTTTTACTTCTTTGTTAAAAATAAATAAAATGAAGTTTACTAAAATAAATATGCCTTCTAGTTATGTAGTAGCATGACTACCAATTATGGGTGTTTGAATTATATTTAATTTGCATCCAAGTAATGAAAATTTGTTACTGCCTTCTAAAGTATAATCTTAATAGAAGCATCTGAAAGTTTCTTACATCTGTAAGAAATAATTACCTTGGTAAATCTTACATATTTCCAAAACAAAATTCTAAAAGTAATATTGTGCTTTTTGGAATCTTTTATGGCCATTAATAGGGGTCATGTCTTAGATGATTACAGATATTTATTTAGTTGAAGTTGTAGGCAGTTCTTCATCATAAGATTCTAGCTCTCTTCTGGTAAGTCCTGCAATGATGATTCTTTGTGGCTCCTGTTTCAGCTCTTGTGACCTGGAGAAAGGGGTCAATCCTTTCAATGAGGGGAACAGCCATCCTAGAAATGTAATTTATATGGAGTGACCCAACGATAGTATACAGAGTGAAACCACCTGGGCTCTGAGTAGATACAGGCGTGGGCTGAGAGTTAATTGTGTTTAGAAGTCTACCTGCATTGCATAAAAATGGTGGACTCTCACAGTGCTGTCGTGTCCTCTTTCTTACTGCAGATTGTCTTTGGCTCCATTGTCCTCCTGATGCTTTGGCTTCCTATACGTATAATTAAGAGTCTACTGCCTAATTTTCTTCCCTACAATGTCATGCTGTACAGGTAAGTTGCTAAAATTTAAAATAGCTGTAATAATTTACCACTGTTAGGGATTTGATGGTCAGATTACATTAAACTTTTAAAACATTAATTTCTCATAGATACTAAGAAATTTTTATCTCAGGTCTAGATCAAGGTTTTATTATCCCTTACCAAAATAAATAATTATTCTGTCCTTTAAAGTTGTCTTTGTCTTTGTTTCATTACTTAATTCTTTCTGTAATCTCTGTTAAATTACTTTATAAATATTTGCTCTTTTATCCAAGAGAGCAGTAGTAATTCCTTTTTTTTTTTGTATCAGGAATTGTACCCAGGGCGCTTAATCACTGAGCCATAACCTCAGCCCTTTATAATATTTTATTTAGAGACAGGGTCTTGCTGAGTTGTTTAGGGCCTCACCGAGTTAATGAGGCTAGCTTTAAACTTGGTAATCCTTCTGCCTCAGCTTCATGAGCCACTGGGATTACAGGCATGCACCAACACACTTGACTTATTTGGGTCTTAATGCCTTTATAGGAAATCTCAGATTTGTATCCACTAAATTAAAACTGACAAATATTTATATGTTGATTTTTTTCTTAAGTGGCAGAAAAAATGCTGATAATTAATTTAAAATACAAAATTCAGTTTTTGCTTTTTAAATTGTTACTCTTTTGCAGTAAGACTTTATTTTTCTACATGTAGGACTTTTGTAGATTTGTAGGACAATTTTGTAATTCTTACCTTTCATTCATGTATAGTGTGTGTTTGGGTTCAGTTGTGATGAGAACCAGAAAACAGGTCTGGCTTTATATATTGTTGGAATAAAATCATTTGGTAATCAGTTGTATCTATAAGTTTAACAACATTTTTGTGCTATATATTAGTATGTGGTTCATTCTTCCCTTCAACTTAGGGTTCACCATATGGCAGGCACTTTTCTATATCCTAGGGGTATAACTGAACATAACAGAATCAAGAAAAATCTTTGTTCTATGAAGCTTACATTTGGGGATAGGGAGACAGACTTCAGAATAGGTAGAATATATAGTATGCCAAATGGTTATAGTGCAGAAAAATGAAGTAGGGAAAGAGAATACAGAGAATAGCCAGGTTGGGGTTGCTATTTAGAAAGAGTGACCAATAAAGAGCTGAGAAGGTGTCAGCTGAAAAGAGCCCTGAAGAAGGCAGTGAAGGGGTAAACCATGTGTCCTTGCAAGAGGTCAGGCAAGGGCAGTAGCACCCAGGTCTGTTTGAGGAGCAGCAGGAGGCCAGCTTGGCTTTAGGGGGGAAGTGTGTTGTGTTGTGGGTCCAAGCAGTTGGCTATGAAGTCAGAGAGGTCACAGAGAGCTTTGTAGGCTGCTCTAAGTATTTGGCTTTTCCCTGAATAAGTTGAAGAGCTTTTGGGGAAACTAAGGAGATCATTCTGCCTGCTGTGAAGAGAAGTTACTGAGAGTACTCAGGTTGGAAGTAGGAAGCCAGCAGGAGAGTGATGCAGTAATCCTGCTGAGAAGTGGGGGTGGCTGGGATAAAGGAGGTAGCAAGGGAGGCCAAGAAGCATTTAGAATTTAGGATATTGTTAAGAGAGAGCCAACAGGATTCAGTAACTGTTGGAATGTGCAATGTAAAGAAGGGAGTCAGCAGGATCATAGTTTTTGTCTTGAGCACCTGGCAGGACAGAGTTGCCATTTACTGAGATTTAGGGTGACTGTGGAAGTAGCAGGATTAAAAGGGAAGATTGGGAATTTGATACTGAAGATAACCAATTGAAGTTGTCTAATATATGTCATTGTGAAATGTTGAACTGGCATTTTGGATATGTAAGTTGGGAGTTAGAGTAGATGTCTCAGTATTAGGTCGAAGTAATGAAAGGTGATATTTTAGCCCATATGACCAGATGAAGGTCACATTTACCTAGAGAGCTAGCATAGATGAAAGAAGAAGACAGCCTGGGGCCCTTTGGTTCTTCTAGGTTGATCTTAGCCATTCAGGGAGAAAATGTTGTAAGAAGGAAAGGGTGAACATTTGTAAATCATATTACTCACATAACAAGGTGAGAGCCAAGGACTGACCTTTGACTTAATACCATGAAGGCCATTGGTGACCCTTACCAGAAATAAGTTTGGTAGAATTTGGGAGGGAAACTTCACTGAGTTAGAGAGAGAGAGACGGGGAGAGAGGAGAGGTAATAAAGACAGTGAGTTTATTTGACTCACTGGATTTTGTTTTAATTTTATTCAATATTTAATATATAGTTACAATGGAAAATAGAATTCACATTATACATCATGGTTCTTTATATTGTCTTAGTGATGCTCCAGTAAGCGAACTGTCCCTTGAGCTGCTTCTGCTTCAGGTTGTCTTGCCAGCATTACTCGAACAAGGACATACGAGACAGTGGTTGAAGGGGCTTGTGCGAGCATGGACTGTCACTGCGGGATACTTGCTGTGAGTATATTTTTATCAGTCCACCCTTTTCTGGAGAATGTACACAATTTTTATCCTGTTATGGAGGTTTGATTCTTGTCTAGGTTCTTTCATGCTGTTATACAGGCCAAGAATTTATTTAATTTTTAGTACATTATAAACAAATTAGCTTTCCTTTATTTTTAGAGACTCTAAATTGATAAACTCTTCTCAGATTTGAATTCTCAATTGCTTAGTAACCATATTTCATTAATTTATTGTGATTTAAAACTTTCACAGAAAATGTTGGGCATTCTGTAGATATCATAACATGAAATATTATAGATTTGGTTATATGTAATTGAACATTTATCTTTAGCCGCTTCTCCCCAGTCTCTTTTTTTTTTGGCTTAAGTGATATGCAGCTAGGAGAATTTAGTTAAGCTACATATCACAGTAGGTATGATTGTCATCTGGAGAGAAGAAAATAATTTCCCCCATCCTGAAGATCTTCACATGGAATGTCTTGTATGTTGTCTTTTTTTTTTTTTCTTCTTTTTTTTTAATTTCCTGATTTCTTTTCAGATATTGGCAAAAACCAAAATAGATTAAGTGTGTGGTGTATAGATTCTACATATACATTTTCTACTCTTAGTAAATATTAAGAAAGCAACTCTCATGGCTACCATTTTATTCTGACCTGAAATGAGATTTTTTTTCACTGATGTAATTTTCACACAGGGATCTTCATTCCTATCTGTTGGGAGACCAGGAAGAAAGTGAGAATAGTGCAAATCAACAAGTCAACAATAACCAGCATGCTCGAAATAACAACGCTATTCCTGTGGTGGGAGAAGGTCTGCATGCAGCCCACCAAGCCATACTCCAGCAGGGAGGTCCTGTCGGCTTTCAGCCTTACCGCCGGCCTTTAAATTTTCCACTCAGGGTAAGTACTATACAGACTTAACTAGAAATGCTTTTTATCCCAAATTTCTATTGAGAGTTGTGCTGTTAGCATTGGTGTTATATGGTTATGCCTTAAACTTTCCTGATAAGAACCCATGTTTTATTATCGTCATTATGCAACGTAAGTAAGGGATCAAATAAGTTTATCAAATTTTAGAGATGGGCCATAGAATTAGGATTTCATGGGGTTTTGCTCTTTCCTGTTTGAGAAGGAGAAAAGACTATACAGAGTAAGAAAGAAACTAACATTGGTACATTTCAACTGTGTGTCAGGAACTGGAATAAGTATTTTAATGTTTTTCCCTCACTTAATCCCCACTCAAATATGGTGAGGTGTGGATGGTAATCTCACCTTAATAGCTGATGAAACTAAAAGTCAGATTGGTTAAGTAAGTGTCCAATTTCATCATCTTAAACTACCAAATAATTCGTTTATGATTCACAATTTTGTCAAAAATGTAAGCTGATGACTACTGTATTATTACAATGAACTCATCCTTCAATTATATCCAGTCAGTTATATTTTAAATGCCCTTTAATAATGATATGAGCTTATGAGTCAGATCATTTTGAAACTTGGGTAGGTTATTTACCTTTCAGCCTTGGTTCTTTTTTTCTAAAAATAGTTGTAATAATGCCTTTCTGGACTACTTGTGGATCAGATGTCTTCATTGAGTCTTGCAGATGTGTTTTCCACACCTCACCACTTCTGATGCCCATGAAGGATGTAGAGAACATGCATAGTCTTTGCCCTGAAAGAGCTTACTATCTACTTGGGGAGATAGGAAAACAAGCAGTGGCAGATTTGGGTTCTTAAGGTAGATTATGGACAGAGGGTGCTATGATGGCTTCATTGAGAAGCCACTGGTGCATAGTATAAGCCCAAAGGAATCCCCATGAAGGGCATGATGCCTGAACTGTATTAATAAAGTAGAGAGATCAGGCAGAGAAAAAACTGGAAAGTGAGAAGAGCATTCCACAATATGCCAGGAAAGAGTACTTTAGCCATGGTGGACTTGGAACTGCAGATAATTGAATATATTTGAAAGGTGGGCATGTATGCAGGAGAGAGGTGAGGCAGAAGGGGAGCAGTGAGAGATGGGGTTTTTGGATGTGCAGGAACCAGTTAGGGGAACATTGAACATCGTTTGTGCCATAGTCATTAGTGCACTGTTGTTCTTCCTACTCCCTTAAGGGACAAACCACTGTTCTAATTCTAAAGGACTTTGCTTTATAACTGGAGGAAACACGAAGGTCATCTTTTCCTTTGCTTCTTACTCTTAAAAGCAGGCGTCAAGGTGGGGAAAAAGGTATATTTATACATTGCTGGGGGGACTGTAAATTGGTGCAACTACTAAGGAAAGCAGTATGGAGATTTCCTCAGAAGACTTGGAATGGAATCACCATTTGACCTACTTATCCCACTCCTTGGTTTATACCCAAATGACTTAAAATCAGGATACTGCAGTGACACAGCCACATCAATGTTTATAGCAATTCAGTTCATAAACTATGGAACCAACCTAGGTGCCCTTCAACAGATGAGTGGATAAAGAAAAAGTGTTATATAGACACAATGGAATATTACTCAGCCTTAAAGAAAAATGAAATTATGGTATTTGCTGGTAAATGGATGGAGCTGGAGAATATCATGCTAAGGGAAATAAGCTAATCCCAAAGAACCAAAGGCTGAATGTTTTCTCTGGTATGTGGATGCCAATTCACATTGTGGGGTGGTGGCTAGGGAAGAATAGAGGTACTTGGGATTAGACAGGGGAGTGAAGGGAGGGAGGGGATATGGTGGTAGGAAGAATAATAGAATGAATCAGATATTATTACTTTGTTTACATATATGATTACATATATGAACCCAATCTGCCACTGCTTGTTTTCCTATCTCCCCAATCATTATTATATGTGATTCTACACCATGTACAACCAGAAAAATGAGAAATTACACTCTGCTTATGTACGACGTGTCAAATGCATTATATTGTCATGTATAACTAATTAGAATTAAAAAAATAAAAAAGCAGACCTGATAGGGAGTTTCTTTTTTCTCTTTCCATGGTCTTTACCCAGCCTTCTTGGCTCTCCATGAACAAAAAAAAGGCCTTAAGCAAAAGGTACTTTCTGACTAGATGAGAAATAGAATCACTAAGGGTTCCTCCCACCTCCCCAAAAGTTGAACCCAGAGGTGCTTTACCAATGAGCTACATCCCCAGTCGTGTGGGTGTGGGTGAGGGTGTATATGTATACACTGGGGATTAAGCCCCAGGAGTGCTTAACCACTAAGCCACAACCCAGCACTTGTTGTTTTTTATTTTGAGACAGGGTCTCACTAAGTGCTCAGGTTGGTCTTGAACTTGTGATCCTCCTGCCTCAGCCCCTTGAGTTGTTTGGCACCATTCCCCCAGTTAGGCAGTTTCTTTTCAATGAGAAAATCGTGTGGTTTCTTTGAGGTATGTTGTAAAATACATGTGAAAACTCTATGCCTTCTTTGTTCTGCTTTGCAGATATTTCTGTTGATTGTCTTCATGTGTATCACATTACTGATTGCCAGCCTCATCTGCCTTACTCTACCAGGTATGAGTTTATTCTACTTTTCAGCTATTAATATCATTATTTTTTTAAAGGTCGTATCTTGCAGAAATGTGATTTTTTTTCCTCAGATATGAAATTATCCTAATTTTTAATTCAGTATAGAATTTTGATCTATTTAGGAGTCCTCATTTTATTGGACTCATTCCTTAGAGCATTGGGGACAAAAATCAAAATTAATTTATGAATGGATTTTTGGGGCTGGGGATATAGCTTATTCAGATACAGCTCATTGCATGCACAAGGCCCTGGGTTCAATCCCCAGCACTACCAAAAAAAAAAAAAGGATTTTTGGCGTAAAGTACTATGATCGCTCAGTTTTTATGGATATATTACAGGGTGGATTTTCTAAAAGTAATTTGTATGATGTATCAGTTTTTCAAGCTAGTGTTTTAATATGAATTATGTTTGTTTTCATTATATAATTATCTTTCCCATCTATTGTATACTGTTCCTAGAGAGCATTATGAAGCCAGACTTTATTCTCTTTATCATCTGGTATTCACAAGTACTAATCTTCTCTGGCATTAAGATTTGTTGGATATTTTAATAGATAATGTTTCTTCATTTAAAAAGTATATACTTCGGTTTAATATAATTTTCTCCAGAGGTCGGAAGTGAATGGGATAGAATCCAAAACCAGTGACAGAGTTGCAGAATAACTTAGTCCTCCTCATTTATATCCAGCAAGAAAATTCTAAATCATGTTGACCATGATAACCACTTAAGTACCACTTAAGTAATCATTAAATAGAAGGTATAGAAATATTAGATTTTTCAACACTAAGAAAAATACTTAAAGCTACTTTCAACTCTTATCAGACATTAATGTATTGTTCTCTTGATTATAACACCAGTTCAATATAATTTTATATAAATAAAATTTATATTAAACGTTTATTCCCATAAATCTTTAGGCTGGGCAAGAGAAACTAGGAAAATTAATTTCAAGGGATGTTTCTAAAAAAAAAAAAATTGCCCCTGTAAGTTGAAGAAATTATTATTAAATCTCCCAATTGGTAAAAAAATAAATAAATAAGAATTTCAGCTGGGCATGGTGGTGCACATCTGTAATCCCAGCAGTTTGGGAGACTGAGGCAGGAGGATTGCAAGTTCAAAGCCAACCTCAACAATTTAGCAAGGCCCTGTCTCAAAGAATTAAAAAAGGGGCCGAGTATGTGATTCAGTTTTTAAGCATCCCTGGGTTCAATCCCTAGTACCTCCCCAAATTATTATTATTGTAATAAAATTTCATTTTTTTAGTTTCTAAAGCATAATGATTTTTGGCCTTGAAGATTTTGTGTGTGGTGGTGCATACTTGTAATCCACGACTTGGAAGGCCTCAGCAACTTAGTGAGGCCTTAAGCAAATCAGAGACCCTGTCTTTAAACAATATATTAGAAAAGGGCTGGGGATGTGACTCAGTGGTTAAGTGCCCTTGGGTTCAATCACTGGTACCAAAAACACTAAAAGGTTTTGCTCTGAAGTTTACTCCAACTTATATCACAGGTATTAAAATAACAAAGCTTAGTTAACTTGAAGGCAAGGTAGTACTAAACATGTTGCTAAAAAACATTTATAGTTTTTAATGTTTCATTTTCATGTTTTTAACCATAAATATTTTTTAAAAATTAACAAAAGGAAACTATTTTTATACTTGAATAATTTAGTTTTTCCCAGTTCTGTTGCTCATGCTTGTAATCTGAGTGATATGGGAGGCTGAGTGAAGCAGGATTGCCATGTTCAAGTCCAGCCTCAGCAACTTAACAAGACCTTGTCTCAAAATAAAAAGGACTGGGGTATATAGTTCAGTGGTAAAGCAACCCTGAGTTCAATCCCCAGGAACTTAGTTTCATTAAACATTTTTTTTTTAAGTAAATGTTTCCCTTTAATCAGGTTCTACCATATAATGGAAAGTAATTTTAGTCATAGGAATACTGAGATATAGTTAGAGGGTATACAGATGCTTTTTGACCTCAATAAGTTACTTTTCATTAGTTACATATTAACTGACAACGTTGTTACAAACTAAAAACTAACCCTCAACACTTTTTTGATGAGAAATATAGAATAGAAGGTGGTCACTAAATGTAAAACTAACACCAAAACAAAAAAAAACTCTAGAGTAGAAATATATGTAGAAAGTAGACATTTCTATGGAATTATTGATGATTTTGATATTTTCAAATTAACATGCACATGCTTATTTTATATCATATGCCACATACCCAGCTCAGATCACATTCTCATGTAACATTTACAGATATTTGCCCCCCACACACGCCCCAGGTTTCAAACCAGGGCCTTTCTTATTCATGCTGGGCAAAGTGCTCTCTCACTGAGCTATAACTCAACCCTGTGTTTGTCTTTTAAAAAAGGGTTATTTTCACACCCACACTTATTTTGTGACTTGTAAGAAGTCTGTGGTCATCCTCACAATGACTTGTAAGACTTTACATTTGACTGTTGAGCTAGTTTAGTTTAATTTGGAATCAGTGTAATCAGTGGTCAAGATGAAGACATGAATTTAAATTCAGCTCCATTTTGTATAACTTTGGGCAAGGTTCTATTGCTGAGCCTGGTTCCTTCCTTCCTCCTGTCCCTCCTTTTCCTTCTTTCTTGTAATAGGGATTGAACCTGGGATCTTGCATATGCTAGGCAAGTGCTTTACCACTGAGTTACACTTCAGCCTTTTTATTTTTTAAATTTTGAAATGGGGGTCTCACTAGGTTGCCTGGGCTGGCTTCAAGCTTTCTGTCTTCCTGCTTTAGCCCACCAGGTAGCTGGAATTAAAGATGGTAGGTATATCTCCACACCTGACTTGAGTCTAGTTTCCTTAACTTTAAAATGAAGATTGTGTCTATAGTGGGTGTGGGCGTTGTTGTAGGATGAATGAGGTAATATATGGAAAACTAGTCCAACTACCAGCTCCTTTTTAGGTGTTCAAAAATAACACTACCATATTAGGAAGGCAATCTATAGGGTAAACATTCACTAGATATTTTGAGTCTTGTTAACTCTAGTCTTACTGAGAAGTCATCATGTAAATAAAGTTACAAATTATGTAAATGATCTTATCTTTGAGATTGTCTGGATACACTGTAGAATTGATTTCTCTCAACTCTTAGATAGCTCTCAATTCTGTCTTACCTTTAAGTATATTTAGGCGGTCTTAATTGCTTCTAGTATGGTATTCTTTTACTATTGTGCTTTAAAATGTTATTGTGCCTACCTTTTATTAAAATTAGCTTTTGGTGAATGAGCTATTTGGAAGAAAGTTACTCTAAATCATAATGTTGCTAAATTTTAAAAAGTGTTGACAAAACAAATAACAGAATAAAGGTAGAAACTTTTTCTGCTCTGTGCATAATGATTTCAGTTGGTTAAAGACAGTGAAAATAATTCTGTCAGGCTGGGAAGAACATGTAATTGGCATGGAAAATCAGAGTGCATTATCTTGGAGAGAATTCATCCCCTCTGACTTATGTTTTGCTTTTGCTTTAATCAAATAATTTTGTGCTCTAAAAGGCTCCCCCCCAATGTGAAAATACTAATAAAACATCAGAATGCAGTTCTCTTTACCTAGCCACTTGTCTCATTTGTCAGCCTTTTTATTTTCAGTATTTGCTGGCCGTTGGTTAATGTCCTTTTGGACTGGAACTGCCAAAATCCATGAGCTCTACACAGCTGCTTGTGGTCTGTATGTTTGCTGGCTAACCATAAGGGCGGTGACTGTGTTGGTGGCATGGATGCCTCAGGGACGAAGAGTGATCTTCCAAAAAGTTAAAGAATGGTCCCTTATGGTAAGTTTTTGTAATTAAAGATTCGTCTTTCTTATAGGTGTAATGAATATTTTTCTAGTCATTTCTTTAATTCTCCCATTCCTACTTTCATTCATTATAGTGGTAGTTTTGGTTTGTTTTTTTTTTAATTTGGAGGAAAAAACTCTTTTAAGATAGTAGTTTCTGCTTCATTCCAAGAATTACAGTCCTATACTCAAATGTATTTGAGGGTTAAAAGAAAAACTAAGTGACCTGGTAAAGACCCTTGAAAACAAGATAATTTAAAATTAGGAAAACTTATTTGTGGAGATGAATTGCATTTTTAAGAGCGGAGATACTCAATTGAAAACCAAATTTAAGTAGAATTTTATTTTATTAGTATTTTTTCCAAAATATTATTTTAAAAATATGTTTGAATATGTAAAGTCTTAACTTCAGGATCTAGGCATTTTTTTTTTTCATATTAATTGGATTCCTTTAACTATATAGGAAAGTCTTGGCTAATGTGAAAGTATAATAAGTAATGGAAATTATTTCTCTCAAACTTGTTGATCACAATTGTAGGGTAAAAAAAATATAAGATGATTTTTCAAATATGGTGATAATGTCTGGATTTATGTAATGTTGGCTATGACTTGTAAATATGTGTAAGTCACTGCTCATGACTTTTCATTTGTGTAATCAACTGTAATTTTGCATCCAAATTTGTAGTTTGATGTTACTTGACGTTTGTCCATTTAATATTACTATTGAAAGAAAAACACAGTTATGTTTATAGCTTGTTATTTTGACATTAACTGTACAAATCGCCATGTATAATATATGTATACTGAATATAATGATCAAATCAGTGTATTTGACATTTTCACCTATGTACAGTTATTATGTGTTCATAATACATTGCCCTATAAAGAAGCAAGTACTTTGTCTTCCATGTATAGTATCACATTTGGTCTGTTATTGAAACAGAAATAGTCACTGAGGCTACGTTAAAAAGAGGTCTCCAAAAACTGATTTCATTGTCAGAATTTCATAGTTGTTCTTTCCATAATGTCATTTTTTCTTTTTTTTCTCTACATTTTTTAATTGGTGTATTGGAGTGTATCATTATTGTATTTGTTGTTACATATTTATACATGCACATAATATAACAAATTGGCATTAATACACTAACCATGTGACTAAATGGACAGATATGGACCATTGCTGCCACCTAGTACTTTTGGATCAGGGCATTCTAAAGGGAGCCAATTTGATCGTCTTGATAATTACTTTAACTAGGATTATGCAGAACCCTTTCCCTATACCAGTCTACTTCAAGGGTCATGGATCAGCCTATGGAAGGGACTGTTGGACCAGGGTTCTCAGCCAGTCAGTAGTGTTTTCTTAGACAAACAGAAGTCTAGACCTGAGAATGGAATTTTGAGAAAAAAAGCACATAGTTACCAGGTTATTATTAATTTATAATAAAATGAATTTTCTGTAATCCCTTTTCTAGCTATAATGAATACTAGTTTTGAAGTTTTCATTATAATTTGAGTTCTCATAGTGATGGAACCAGGAAATTTCATTTGAACTTGTAACATAAAAATGTGCATGAGTATTTTAAAATGGTCTAGGCATTAGGTCAAGGAGAAAAAAATAAACCTCCAAATGGAATAAAGAGTTTGTCTAAAAGTCAGGAAGATCATCTTACTGACCATGGTCTCTTGCTTCCTAATAGATAATGAAGACCTTGATAGTTGCTGTGCTGCTGGCTGGGGTTGTCCCACTCCTTCTGGGGCTCCTGTTTGAGCTGGTTATTGTTGCTCCCTTGAGGGTTCCTTTGGATCAGACTCCTCTTTTTTATCCATGGCAGGTAAATACTTGTCTTTTGCTGATCATAGTTTAAGTAGTTGGGATCAGAAAGAATACTTTTAAGTGAATGATTAAGAATAATTTTAAGTGATTTTTGATTTGTAACCAGTTGGTTTAGAAAGGCTCCTTGTTTTCTAAAATTATATAAATAATTTCCATTAATCTTTTGCTTTCAGAAATTTTAGGTCATATAATTTCTTTAAAAGAACTTACTTTTTAGGTTAAAATACCCCTGTTCATCCAGGCTTCTCCAATATTTAAAGATACAAACTAATGTGTTGACCTTTTTTCTCTCTCTTTCTCTCTTTCTTTCTTTCTGTCTTTCTTTCTCTTTCTTTCTTTCTTTCTTTCTCTCTTTCTCTCTCTCTCTCTCTCTCCCTCCCTCCCTCCCTCCCTTCCTTCCTTCCTTCCTTTCTTTCCCTCCCTCCCTCCCTCCCTCCCTCCCCAAGGCACTTAACCACTGAGCCACATCCCCATTTCTATTTATTTTTTATTTTCTATTTAGGGTCTTGCTAAGTTGCTGAGGTTAGCTTTGAACTTGGAATACTCCTCCCTCAGCCTCAGCAGGAGGCTGTAATCCCTCCTGCTGGGATTATAGCCACTGCATGTGGCTGATCTTTTCATTTTTGAGCTAATGTAAATTTTTTTGCTCTTTTTGACTTTAATACTTTAATAAATGACATCATATTTCCCCAAATGTCTCAGGTTCATTAAAAAGGAGTAGCCTGATGGAACCCATATATCAAAGCAAAAATCTTAAAGCTCAAACAGAAAGCACTTTAATGTGTGCCCAGACTCTGAACTGTGTAACCCAGCTCAAAATGAGGCCACTGCAGGAACCTGAGGAACTTATATTTTGGTAGGAAAGCTAGACAGGTGCCTAGGTAGTTTGTATGATAAGCATGGGAGCTATAGCATCATGTAGAAGAGTATTTAGCCTAGGTGTGCCAGTTTCAGATGTGATTTTTTTATAGGAGATAATAACTAAGCCAATATAATTAGTACAATATTGAAGATGGGTAAGAAAGGAAGGAGTATATTCCAGGTAGGAGCTAATGGGCAGATCTGGAAATAAGACAGAGAATACATAATCTAATCCAGTCTGACTCATAGTCTAGAATTAGTAAGATAAATGAGTACTAAAGAGAAATAAGCCTATGTTATTTCTTTCTGTAAATGTTGCATTACAGAGCAGATAGAATCAGTAATTGAAGAAAATGGAGTTTTTTAGTTTTTAAATAGAGAATAATGCCAGCTAATAAAAGGTAGAAGGATTAACAGAATTAGAAAACCACTCTTTTGTAATACCTAAAAAAAGAATAATCCTAGCTCGGCACAGTGGTGCGCATCTATAATCCCAGCAGTTTGGGAGGCTGAGGCAGGAGAATTGCAAGTTCAAAGCCAGCCTCAGCAATTTAGTGAGGATCTAAGCAACTCAGTGAGATGCTATCTCAAAAAATTAAAAGGGCTGGGGTTGTGGCTCAATGGTTAAATGCCCCTGAGTTCAGTCCCCAGACTGCCCCCCACCACACACACACAAAATTTAAATTCCAAGGCTTGTCAATGGATATTGAATTAATGAGGCTATAAGTTTTATGGATATTCAGTTACCTATTGCTATATAACAAGTTACCCCCATAACTTAATGGCTTAGAACACCCAGAGTCTATGGGTCAGAAATTCAGAGAGGGGCTTATCTGTTTTGTTTCTGATACATGTGTGGCCTTACCTGGGAAGTCCAATGACTAGAGACAATTTAAGAGTGGTGGTATGACCTCTTTGGACATGCCATCACTTACTGTTAGGGTTGATGCTGGTTGGTTGTTGGCACCCATCTGGGGTTACTGTCTGAGGGCTCTTAGATGTACCTGGGCTTTTTCACAACTCTGTAACCCAAGGTTATTGGGCTTCTAAGATAGCATTTCGGGGAAATCAGTGTCCCTATAAACAGTAGATGCTGCATCACAAGTCTACAGCATTGCTTTTTACCACATCCTGCTGGATACAGGCAGGTTTCAAAGTGTAACCCCTTGCTACTTTCTTAGAGATTTTTCATGCATGTTTTGACATCCATACAATGAAGAAGTGATTATTTACATGCTGTTCAAGTATCACTTTGTAGATGAGTAGTCTCAAAGGAAAATACAACTTTGCATTGGAGGGGGTCAGGAAAATGTTACCCTCACGTTGTCAGTGATCATATCACAATAAATGAGGCAAACAAATATTATATGCTTCCTAATGTTATGTAGTGTGCAGCATTGAAAAGGGGAATAGCCCCCCTGACATGGAGGAGCTAATCTGCCACCATCAGCCAGACCATGAAATTCTGTTGAACATAAACATTGTTTCACAGAATGTCAACATCATACAAAGTCACTGTGTGACCAGGATAGAGCAGGACAAGCAAGACTATCTCTGCAGTCTTATCTGAACTCATATTGAACATGAGCATTGTGCAGACCACAGAATGATCAGACATCCCCCTTTTCCTGCTAACATGATTGCTGCTTCTTTACCAGTTATAGGTTTTGGCCTCAGGCTGTCCTTTTTTTGTAGATAAGGTTTATTAAGATAGCCAATCACAACTTATTCTGCTTTTTAGTAGCATCTGATACAGAGCAAAGCCACACCTTTTTAAATCCTTACCCAGATTTCTAACACAAGCTGAAATCCTGTAATAATTCTTACCCTCTCTAGGTGGCCCCAAGTTCCCTGTATTGTGTGTGCTTCCTTTTTAGCATGGAATAATAAGCACAATTTGTTCAGTTACATGTGTGTTCTTAGTAGTCTGACCTAGGAAGTCGTCGTCATGTTGGAGAATTCTTTTACATGATTACATTTTTTAAAATGCTAAAATATTATGACTCAGCAGTACGACTTTTTATAATCTACTGTACAGTGACATCTGTGTGTGTGCAGGAAACACAAGGCTGCTTCTGCTCATACATCATTTTTTATAATGACAAAAAAAAAAAGGAACTTAAAATGCCTGTCAGTAGAGAATGGCTAAATAAGATGGGGTACATCTGCTGTTTGAAATTCTGTCCACAGATAGGGGATGTAGCTCAGTTGTAGAGCACTTGCTTGGCATGTGTGAGCCCTGGGTTCAGTCCCTGGCACTGAAGGAGGAAAAATAAATAACTAAAGGAAATTAAGTTCATCAGTTCTTTTACATTAGTTAAAAAGAATTAAATGAACTTGTTTTAGTGCGGATGGTTCTCAGGCATGTTCATATGTAGAGGAAAAAACACAAGCTGTAAATGTATATGTGTAGCATGTTATTGAGGGTCTGTATTAAACTCCTAAGTATTAGAAAGAACAGTGTCTTCTCCATCCCTGACTCTTACGCTGCTTAACTCTCCTGTGGCATGTGGCTACAGGTCTGTGGGATATTGGGATCATTTGGAATTCTAGCAGAACTAGTGAGGCTGATCCTGTTCTTGGGATAAGAACTGCAGAGCAGTTGGCCTGAAAAAGCTTAAACTTCAGCAATCTGGGAACCTGGGTAGTGGGCCTTAATCTTACCTGGCCTTCTGGACTCCCAAAAGGCAAAAAACAAAAACAAAAAAAAACAACTGAATTGGTGAGTTTAATCTTCCTAGCTTGTGAGCCTTAATGGATATGAAGAAGAGAGGCTTTCTCCATGTTCCTCAGTAGAGGACTGTTGGCTTCCTGGAATTCCAAAGGTCTGCAGGAATGAAATACTGAATGTTCTCAGTGAGACCTGGGTTAGACAAGTGCTTTTACAAAAAAAAAAAAAAAAAAAGCTCAGCAGCCATAGAAAGGCTAGGCAGGGCAATCAGAACACATGCAAGTGACAACTGCTTACAAAGGTGAGAGCTGCCAGAGAGAAGAAAACACACAGGAGATGGAGTGCAGTATCTACACACTCACGTGAAAACAGCAGAACACAATGGTTGTGGAGCTTTGTAGCATGGATTTTGAAGAAATTCAGCAGATTAATATAGCAGTCACCACAGGGGCTCAGTTTGGGGACCTTAAAGGTCAGCAAAGCACAGAACAAAATCAAAGAATGAAGAATTGAGGGGAATGGTAGAGTGCTTGCCCAGCAGGCACAAGACCCTGGGTTCAGTCCCCAGCACCACAAAAAAAAAAAAAAAAAAAAAGAATTGAGGGGAAAGATAAATATCTTCTAGGAGTAAAAACACAAAGATAACAGGGCTTCTGGAAGGGAAACATGTAAGCAACATTGAAACAAATGTAGAAAATTTTAATTATATTGAAGAAGGTTGAAATGTTTTGATCACATTTGATGATATTAAAATCAACAAGACAAGATGGAAGAGAAAAATAAATATATATCTGGGTATATTTTGGCAAAAATCTAAGAATAAGGAGAAATCTTGAAAGCTTCAAAAAAATTATACTGCTCTTGGACCATTTTTTCTTTACCCTGAAAGCCATAAGATAGAATTAAAGAGAATTAAGAGAAAGGGGACAAAAACCAAACTTCTTGCACCCAAACAAAATACCACTTGTTTCACCTGGCAGGATGAGCATTGATGTTTGAGGACATGCAAGAATTCAGTATGTGTTTCAACTTCTCACTTCTTTTAGGAAGACACATATTACTATTCAATCAAACCAGTAAATTGGAGCGTTGACCTCAAGATGGTGGACAGTGAAGAGACTAGGCAGGATGAGCAAAATCTACTCAAAATGACACATGTGTTTTCAGTTGGACATATAGCTGCAGATAAATGCATGAGGGAAAGCACAGAGAGTATATACTCAATACCAATAGTAGTTACTGCTGGAGAGAGATTGAGGTAGCAGTAACAGAATACTCCAGCCTTCTTTGTAACGTCTTCACTTTTATATAATAGATCTCAGTGTTATGTGTTACATTTTTAATGTATGTATATTTTTAAGATAGACCAGGTTATGAAGGGCTATATGTGCCATGTTAAGGATTTCAGAGTTATAAGCATGAAATCTATCTACTTCTAGGATCTGATGTACATTTTAAGAAACAACTTGGTGAGGGGAAGGAATGGTAAGCACTTTGGCTAGCTGGTGGAGAGATGAGGTTGGCAGGTCAGCCAGTGGTACCATGAGGAACTTGATGTGCAGTAACACTGGGAATGAAAAATACAGTTCAGCAAGAAAACTGCAAATGCTCCAAGCTCAAAGCTGTGAGGCTTTGGAGTAGTTTCTTTAGGCCATTCTTGTTTCCATAGTCTTATTTTGATATATATTAGCTCAGTCAAACCAGTAAAGCAGCGTAAGGATGTTTTTTTTGTGTGTGTGTGTGTGTTTTTTTTTTGATTTTTTTTTTTAAGAGAGAGAGAATTTTTAATATTTATTTTTTTTAGTGTTTGGTGGACACAATATCTTTGTTTGTATGTGGTGCTGAGGATGGAACCCAGGCCGCACGCATGCCAGGCGAGCGCGCTACTGCTTGAGCCACATCCCTAGCCCCGGATTTTTTTTTTTTAACCTTTATTTTACTTATTTATTTTTATGTGGTGCTGAGGATCGAACCCAGGGTCTTGCACATGTGAGGCGAGCGCTCTACTACTGAGCCACAACCCCAGCCCAGGATGGTTTGATTACATAAAATCATAGTAGGCTGATGTTATGGCTCAGTAGTAGAGTGCCACTTAGCATGCATGAGGCACTGGGTTTGATCCTGAGCACCACATAAAAAATAAAGACATTGTGTCCACCTAAAACTAAAAAAAAATGTATGTATATTTTTAAATAAAAATAATTATATCATTTTTTATTTGATTACTGAGATCGCCATTAATGTTTAGACTTAGTTTCTATTTTTCTTGGAAAAATGATATAGATCAAAGGATTCAAGGATGATTTTTCTTAGGAACACTAAACTTGGGCTTTTGGAGAAAACTTCCCTGGATTTTGCAGTATATGTTAATCTTTCGGCCAAATTGTTACCAATTCTGTAGAATTTCTTTTTTGAAGTGTGAAATAAGAGAAAATTGTATTGCCTTTCTTCCAGGTTTACTGTTAAAATAACAACAAAAAATGTGTTAAATGGTTTTTATTATCCTAGGACTGGGCACTTGGAGTCCTGCATGCCAAAATCATTGCAGCTATAACGTTGATGGGTCCTCAGTGGTGGTTGAAAACTGTAATTGAACAGGTAAGCAAGATCAGTTTTGAGAAAGATATATTGAAATGCATTTGTGATTATGTTTGATTAATTAAGCTATTTATGTGTCCACTTTCTATTTTCTTTTAACCCGTTGTCTTCCAAGTTTCAATTCTGTGGATATTTAAAAAAAATATTGACACAGATGTATTAATATAGGTTGGAAATTGTAATCTAGGCTTATTATAGTCTTTATTACCATTAAATATAAGAATACAGATTGTTCTATGAATAGGACACTGGAAATATATATGTATTTTTTTTGTGTGTGTGTGTTGTGTACACACACTGTTCTTGAAATTAAATGACAAGCTGGTACTAGAAAATACTTTCATGAATGCATTCCATATATTACATATGTATGTAATGTTCTGTTCAGTTGGATTCAGTAAAAAGTAACTTGTAGTAAAAAGAGTGGAACTCTAAAAACATAACACTGCAAAGGTACCGTAAATGGTGTATGTATTGCTCAATTTTAAGTTTTTATAGGTGATCCACATCTGGGAAGATGGGACAGAATGGGTTAATGAGCACATATAACTTTTTAAAGAGGATAGTTTTATTATTAGGAGAGAAAAAATAATTTATGCCCTGGGAAATATGTAATTCTTAAACAGCTTTGAATTCTGGAATTTTCAACAAAGAATATTAAATTTTTAAAGAAGGAAAAGGTCAAAGGGAAAGATTTTGAGATCTAAGAGTGATGTATTGGAGTAAGGCAAATAAAAAACTAGTTTAGTAAAACTTGTTACTGTAGTTTCCTCTGGTATGCCAGACTACAAGGGTCTTTAGTAGTTAACCTTTGTTGTTCTCAGTGAGGGAGACGAGTAGGCTACCTTTCGTCTTTGTGTTCGCTTTTAGGAAAATAGAGGAAGGAAAATAGAGTACTTTCTGCCTGTGCTGCTCAGTTGCCTTCAGCTCTCCTTATACCAAAGAAGTGTAGGTGTTTAGGGGTGGCATATTTTGGTCTTACATACTACCATGAATTTTCAATAGCCACTTTCAAGCCTCAGCTTAAAAGGTTAACCAGTAACATAAATGCCTAGAATATGTGTCCAAAAATAGAGGCCAATATGTCATACATGCCTTTTCCAGAGCAGGGGTTCTAATGAAGCTTAGTATTATTCATGTTACTAAACCTATAGTAGAGAGAGGAAAGGAAGCCATTACTTGAGGCAATAAGTAAAAGAAAAGACCAGGAAAAAAATAGACTAAAAAGGCAAAATGGTTGAATATTCTAGTTACATAACACCTGAGATTATTACTGAATTAGAAACTGTGAAATAATTTGGTCGTTGGTGTGATCGCCTTGAAAAAAGTAGATTGTGCTCTGATAATCAGATTAGTGAGTATAGTAATTCATTTAAAAAGATGTCTATCTAGAATAGCCAATGTGTGATAAGCTTATTTCTTTAAGCTTTAGTTGTCTAGAAAATGTCCTCAAGGTTAATTCTTCAATCTTTAGCTCAGTGCCAAATAAATAAGGTCTTACAAATGTGCTGCAGTGAAAGTTTGCCTCCCTTTTGATGTATGGGAAGTAAAGGCAGGAGTTCTCAGCTCACTGTTCACAAGAAAATTGGGGGAAACTACCTGTACCTTGAGATTTTGATTCTTAGGAGCAGAGGTTGGGGGAGCAAGGGAATTACTGTGTGTTCACATGTGTCTCCAGAGTACAAACTAATTTAGAAGTCCATTAGGCATGTGAGGGATTGGGCGCCCATGGCAGCATATCTATTCAGGATAGGAGTGTGAGCCAGTCCACTCTATAGTCTCTGGCTGAGACTCTGGCCCTTGCAGAGTTTAGAGATAATAAGGGTTTAATGGAGGCTGTGAAACATCATTGATTTTTTTTTTTTTTTTTGGTAATATTTCACTTTAAAATGCATTATTTTCTTATGGCATGATTGTACATTTGTATGAAAATTGAATGGTTGGGCTTGATGGAGAAATATTGGGATACCCTCTTTTTTAATTATAATGCATTTGCGTGAACTAGGTTTCTTTGGGGGTGAAAGTAAAACTTTGAAGGATTAAGCCTGCTTGTTCTTCAAATCCCTGGTATGGGGTTTGAGAAACACTACATCCTGATTTGTGAGGGACATAATTGCTGTGGATTAGGGCAAGAAGGGAAAAAACAGCATTCTGCACTTCATTAGTATTTTCCATTTATTTTCAGGGTTTTCCCACTTCCATCTATTCTTTCCTTTGCAGTCTTTTTCAGTAGAATTTTCTTGAGAAGGTGAAGGAAATATGTTAGAAATTCTTGGATTTTTAAATAAATTAACTGTAGAATTCTTTTCTGCTTTTTTTTTTTTATAACAAAATACCTTTTGTTTCTTATAATTTTTTTTATTTAGTTTTTTTTGGAAACATTTCCTGTTTACATTATTTTCTTGTCACATTTAGATAAAATGAATTTTTTTTTTTTTTTTTTTTTTTGGGGTACTGGGGATTGACCTCGGGGGCAAGTAACCACTGAACCACAGACCCAGCCCTTTTTATTTTGTGTTTTGAAACAAGGTCAGTTGCTCAGGGCTTTGCTAAGTTGCTGAGGCTGGCTTTGAATTGATAATCCTCTCCTCTCGGCCTCCCATGCTACTGGGATTATAGGTGTGTGCCACTGGGCCTCTTAAATAGTTTTGAATAATAACACAGATCACTCTTACATAAGATTTGTGAAAAAATACTTCAAGTTCTGTAGTATTCAATTGTGTAATTACTGAATGTTATTTGGTACTGTTTTAGTGCAAGGATAGTAAAAATTGTGATTATATTAGTGTTGTCGTATTTCACAATTTGTGGCTAACTGTACAGTGTTAGTAAGTAAATATACTCCTTTTAAAAACTTTCCAGAGCAAGGTTTATGTTTATGCTCCACAATTTGCCTTGACTGTAGGAAAAAATAACCAGTTTGAGTCCTTTTGAGTTGACAAATAGCATGGAAGAATTTGTTAAGTATTTTTGTTCTGATTTTTTCTTATTGTTTTAGGTTTATGCAAATGGCATCCGGAACATTGACCTTCACTACATCATTCGTAAATTGGCAGCTCCAGTGATCTCTGTGCTCTTGCTTTCCCTGTGTGTACCTTATGTCATAGCTTCTGGCGTTGTTCCCTTATTAGGTGGGTAATGCTGGCTATGGAGCTTTAGAGAGCACTTTATTAACTTTGATGTTCTTATGACAAAGGCTATCTGATTTCAAATGCTTTGTTGGTAAACGAATAATCATTTAGCTGGGCTTAAATAATAGATGAAGGGGTTGTGGTTGTGGCTCAGAGGTGTAGAGCACTCGCCTAGCATGCCTGAGGCACTGGGTTCAATCCTCAGCACCACATAAAAATCAAGTAAAGGTATTGTGCCCACCTATAACTAAAATAAATAAATAAATAAATAAATAATTTTAAAACCTAATAATAATAGGTGAAGCTGGGTACAGTGGAACATGCCTGTAATCCCAGCAGCACGGGAGGCTAAGGCAGGAGGATTGTGATTTCAAAGCTAGCCTTAGCAATTTAGCAAGACCCTGAGCAACTTTGTGAGATCCTGTCTCTAAATAAAGTATAAAAGGGGGTGGGGATGTGGCTCATTAAGCTCCCCTGGGTTCAATCCCTAGTACCATAAAAAGAAAAAAAAATTATTTAGAATCTTTAGAATAATATTTTTAATAAAAGTAGATAATTTTATTTTCTAGTTTACTGTTTTAGCTGTTTCAGCTATTGTAGGAATGTCATTGTCTTAATATTATTTTCTGATTAATATGTATTATGTCCTGTCCACTGATAGTATATAGATTAAGGATTACTATTACTATTACTTAAGGATTACTATTTGGTTTTCTAAACCTAAATCTTTTTATATTTCCACTATTAGAATTTTTTATTGTTGTTTTGGTTTGTTTTTTATTTTTGCAGTATTGGGGATTGAACCTAGGGACACTCTTAATACTGAACTGTATCCCCAGCTCTTTTTTATTCTTAGAGAAAGGATCTTGTTAAATTGCTGAGGCTGACCTCAAATTGGGGCTGATCCTCCTGTCTCAGCCTCCTGAGTCACAGCATTTCAGATGTGCACCACGGTAACCAACTTTGCTCTATTAGAAGTTTCATTGTGAACCCCATTGGAAAGACTTTATAGAAGAGGGAAATATTAGTAAATGATTTTTTTTTTTTTTTTAGCACTTTTTGGCTCTCTCTAGGTGCTTTACAGAATTGTTACTTATTCTTAGAAGAGCTTTTGAAACTGAGTTTATAGAACTGAGTCTTGATGAAGTTATACTTTAAAGAGTATGTGGACAGTTCAAACTCCAAGCTCAGCTGCAGAGCCCATGCTCTTTCCACTGCAGCAGACTCTTGCGGGGTTTGGAATAGTCCAGTTGGGATATTAATTTTCTGATGTCCTTTGAAATATTTCATCTGATTTTAAAGCTGTCCTCCCAAGAAAGAGTTAAAACTCATGAATTAAAGTTGAAAAATATTTGAGTGTTCTAAAAGTTTAAGGAACAGATCTTTTATTAAACATAGTTTTATTTTGTTTATCTTACTTTATTTATATTTTTGGCACCAGGGATTGAACCTAAGGTTGCTTAGCCACTGAGCCACATCTGTAGCCCTTATAATATTTTATTTAGAGATAGGCTCTCTCTAAGTTGCTGATCTCTGTTTTTGATCTTCCAATCCTCCTGCCTCAGCCTCCTGAGCTGTTGAGATTACAGGTGTGTACCACTGCACCCAGCTGTTTTTATTTTTTTAAAGTATAGCTTAAATGTGTAAATGACACCAGCTATTTGTGGAGTCCAAATGTTTAAACTGGAAAGAACTTGAGCAGTCATTTAATCTAGCTCACTTAGGTTGTAGAAAGCTGACAGATCTTGGACTTAGAAAGTTTATCTTGAATACTTGCTGTAGTCCACCCTAGGCCCATCCTCTTCCTAGGGGAAGAATGTTTTTCATTTTTATTGTTATTCTACTCATTCATTAGTTTATTTTCTGTTGCTAAAACAAAATACTTGAAAGTGGGTACTTTATAAAGAAAAGAGGTTTATTTAGCTTATAGTTTTGAAGACTGAAAGTCTAGGATTGAGTGGCCCCATTCATTTGGTCTCTGTTGAGAGCCTCATGGTAGATGGTATCACATATGTGGCAGCACATCTGGAAGAGATCACCTGATGAGACAGGAAGCCAAAGAGATTCAGGGGTCAAGTTCATCCTTGTATAACAGCCCATTTTCAGGAACTAACTCCATGAGATCAGCTTCCAAGGCCAGAACTCCTAATGACCTAATTACTTCCTACTAGGTCCTACCCCTCAGTACTGTCCACCCATAAATCACTGGGGAGCACCTTCAAGCCATATCCAAATTATAGCAACATACCACTTACAAGTTTCTTCTTTTGGTTTTACAGGTGTTACTGCAGAAATGCAAAACTTAGTCCACCGGCGGATTTATCCATTTTTACTGATGGTTGTGGTATTGATGGGAATCTTGTCCTTCCAGGTTCGCCAGTTTAAGCGCCTTTATGAACATATAAAAAATGACAAGTAAGTCTAGAATTCCATTATTCTGACCACTCTTGTGAAGGTGTTGTCATTTCTTAACTTTTGTGTTTTATATGATAAATCTCAAGAAGGGAAAGAATTCATATTCTGGATATATTTTGTGGTAGGATGTGCTAAGATTGGGTGTAGGACATGAAGGGAGAGTACAGTCAGGTAGAGCCACAGGGAATCTGCAGTTGTCATTTATGGAGCTGGAGAAGTTGGAGAAACTGGTGGTTTGGGGAGGAAGGATTTATTTACTTTTCATACCAAATAATTTTTCAGTCTGTTTTCAAATGTTCTGTTTTGACAATAAATTAAATAGTTTTAGATTAAAACAGAACAGAACAGACCACCTCCATTAGACACTCCTCCAGGAGTCAGCATCCAGCCCATCCACTGACTCTTAGCGAGCCCTTCCTGTCAGGGAAAGGGTCTACCTGTGGAGGCTCTGCAGCCTTGCCATTCCAGCCTCAGTAACTCCTGCCTATTGCCATTACATCCTCTCCTCTGTCACATCACATCAGTTTGGAGCACTCAGTATTCTATTCACAGACCATTGCCTCCTGTTACTCCATGTACACTCGGTGCCTTGCCATCTCCCGCTTGGCCTCACTGAAATCTGCCCTTCGGTTTCTCCTTTTCTCTAGAACCAGACCTTTTCACCTCCTACTTTTTTCTTACCCTGCTTTCTGGTGATCATATTTCTAGTCCATTTCCTCAGACCTTGATTTTAAGCTGCTTTTATAAAATGTCAGCCCATACAAATAAATTTTCTGCTTTCATTTATTGTACTTGCCTCTGGCCTCTTGAGTGCCTGAGTTTGAGAACTGCATGTGTGTCACTGCACAGCATCAGAGACCTTCTAATCTTTGTCGTACTTCCTACACATCCCTATGTGGCTCTATGGCACCTGTCTTTCTGTCTTTTGCAGCTGTTCATTCTAGACTCTCCTTTGGTCTACCTACCTATTGAAAGGCTTTAGGGAGGAATAAATTGACCTGATTTACATTAAAAACGTATCCCTTGCTGTTCTTAGAAGAATTTTTTTTAAATTAGTTACACATGACAGTACAATGATCTTGACATATCATACATTTGAATCAGATGGGGTATAATTTCTCATTTTTCTGAGTATACAGGTGGCAGAATCACATTGGTTATGCAGTCACATATATACATACAGCAATTAGAAGAATGTTTTATTTGTAAGATTTTTATCAGAGAGTAACCACCCTATGTTAACCACCTAGGTACCTTGTGGGTCAACGCCTGGTGAACTATGAGAGGAAATCTGGCAAACAAGGAACATCTGTGCCACCTCCACAGTCGTCCCAAGAATAAAGTGGTTGTCTCAACTCCTTGACCTTCCCCTTGCCTTTACGTGTCCTTTTTGTGGACTTCTCGCTTTGGAGATTCTACCCCGTGATCTCTCAGCGTTGTTTTTAAGTTAAATGTACTTGACTTGTGTCCTCAGCATCCAGAGAGTAGCGTGTAAGGCTCTGCTGCTCTTCCCTGCATCTGCCGACATCACTGCTGTCTGAGATCTGTATATGTGTAAATAGAAGTTCCTTGATTTCCCTAAAACCTTGGATTAAACAGAATGTGCATTGTACATCTTTAAACAAAATGTATATTAATTTATTAAATCTAGTTGTCACTTTATTTTGGACCTGCTGTGATCTCGACAGGAAACGTGCCACAGAGCAGTAGTACACAGGCAAGACCTTTCAGTGACGTCTTGTGGAACGCAGTTCTTTGGTTTTCCTAGCAATTCTCACTAAGCAGACTGTACATCCTGTCTTTCTTGGCTCTTCACACCTTTCCAGGAACCTAAAAGGAAACCAGTAGAAAGCAGTAGTGAAGTGTCTGTGGTAAGAAAACAGCAATTTTGAGCTTCACTGTCAGTCGTTTTGGGAAGTTATTTTGTATAACACCAAAGCTGTTGTACATTTTCTACTGCCTGATTTTTTTTTCATGTGTCTGTGTTTGTAATATTGTATAGTATGTTGTGCTAGGTGAGGAGATTTTTTTTAATTTTGATAATTTAATATTCCTAGTGATCAGCATTGGGAGTTGGGTTTTGTGCTTGTTAGGGGCATGTCTGTACTTAGGAAAAAAAACCATACAAATGAAGATTTTCATTAGTTCCTTGTCCCCCCTTCCACACAACTTTTTGACAGCAGTGGCCCAAAGTGTCGTGCAAGATCATAAATCTCTCACAGAATAACATCACCAACAATATTACATCTTATTGGACTTAGAACATTCTGAGATGCTTTTAAGTATAGATGTGGTCATGGTCTTGGTTTGACAGTGTTAGAGAAAGCTGGTTAGAACACCTAGTCCTTCTGGTGAGTGCATCATCGGGTGAGGAGTAGTGAGTACATTTCTCCTGTGTTTTCATCAGTAAATCCCAAAGTTTCCAAAGCTTTTTTGTTTACAGAATAAAACTGCGAATAAAACCAACTCTATTTGTCCAGAAAGAAGCTGGCTTGAGCTGGCCTTTTAACATAGGAATGTATTTCATTGGAAATGTGCTGTTAACTGTATACTTAACAGACTTGGTTTTCCCTTATAACCAAAGTTTCAAGTTCAGAGTTTGGAGGAATAGAATGGTTGAGCACATAATCCAAGTATTTAATGGTATTGGTTTATTGTAAGGGTAGTGTTTGCATTTGAGTGACAACTTAGAAGTTCTCATAGAAAATGGACAGTGTAGATTTTCAGAAAGTATAAAAAAATTTCTATATAGTATTAAAACTCATAAGTTAAAATCGGATATTTTTTTTTTTAACAATATGAAAATCAGCCAAAAATAAGCTACCAAAATCAAGAGCAACAAGTTCTGGTGGTTTCATTTTTCAACACAATTCTTCCTTAAATTGTAAGGAAATACTTCAAAATATATTTTAAAACATCAGTATCAAGGAAGAATATTGCTTGACATAGGATTCAGTGTTAACACTATTTGGCACTTTGAGATAGCCTTTTCTCTTGTGTTTGAAACAAGTCCTTTGCTAGCTCTACCTTTACTCGGAAATTCAGTCTTACTATAAAAAGTTGGGAGCATTTTAAGTGTAATGCCACCTATCATTTTGACTATATAAGTTGTTCTCTTGGGGAAAAACAATATTGATTTGGGCATATAACTTGATTATATTAATTTAAGTTTCTTATAATTTTTAAGTAATTTGTAGATCTTGATATAAACTCATTGGAACACATTTTAACAGATCATCACAAATGGCTAAAAGTGGTTCATCCTTCACAATTTTAAATCAGTCTTATTAGATGCTTTGTTTAAAAAAAAAACACATCAGAGTAACTAAAAAAATCACCCTCATGTCACTGGAAAATAACTTTATATTGTCTTATTGAGGAATTCCTCCTAGTTTTGTTGTCATGGTGCTGGGGACAGAACCCAGGGTCTGGCACATGCTAGGCAAATGCTGTGTCACTGAGCTATATCACCAGCCCTCCAGGTTCTTCAGTTGTTTGTTTGTTTGTTTTTTTTTTTTTTTTTGTCCTGTTCTCTTCCATAAGATAAATCCTATCATAAGGAAGGTGTTTTCTGGCTAATATTTACTTGGGTAGCATCCAGATTTTATTATTAACCCATAATTCAGAAGGTGCCAGTATTAGTATTGCTGCCCTTCTTCATGTAGACTTTAAAAAAATACTTTCAGTGTAGTTTTGCTTCCTTTTACATTGGGCTGAAACCGTCTTCAGGGAAGTTTTACTGGGAAAGAAGCCTTTTTGCTTTATTTTTACTATTTATAAATTGAAGACAAATCATCAGCTGGGGTTAGTTTTACATGACTAGTTATCAAAAGTCATGGTACATATTGTACATTTCTTCATTATTAGCAAATTATGTTTGAGTTTTAGATTAAAGTACTAATAGTTGATAAAAACTGAAGAAAAATGCCAATGTGAAATTTGCATATAGCTAGCCTTAAAAAAGCTCCATGTTTTTAAGTTTTAATTTTTTTTTTTTTCCTGTTCTCCGGAGAAACGAAGGAGATGGGATACCTCAATTCCACATGTAAGCAAGTAATTTTTATTTTAACATTTAATATAATTGTTATAAATGTGAAATCTTGCGTTCTTTCTCTCATACAAGTAATAGAGAATAACTTTCCATCAAATGATTTGATCCTCAGTATGTCATCTCTGTATTGGCAAAATGCTACTATTAAAGTGTAATTCTTGAATTTAGGTTGAATTGATGACTTTTTAAACAAAGAAACACTGGACATTTCTACACTGTATTGTGTTTGCAAGCACACACATAAGACTGTAGTGCCATCACATAAGAACACTGGCACTTATAAATACTTCACAAGTTAGCTATTTATTTTCATTTTCAGAATTGAGAATATTAAGCTATTTACTATGATGCTTTTTTTACATTGTAAAATTCCATGATTATGTTTAAAATATTCCTTTAGAATGTTAATTTTTCAGTCATCATGAAAAGTCAAAACTAAAATGTCTTACCACTAAAGTATTATTAAAAGGCTTATTCGTGGAGATTCTCTAACTTTTTTGATTAAGCTGTTTTGTATCCACCTATCTAATTTGCCCAATCAGATATTTTCTTGTCAGCTTAGTCCTGCTGTGTGTCATCAATTTTGTAAACAACTTTCATGAGTAAGGGCTCCTTTCAATTAATCCCCAGTGATATTTTTGGCATTAATATAACAAAGAAGAGACAGTACCTACATGTTTTCATTCTTGTCTGTTCTGTATGAGTGCCTCATTTTGTAGTCATGAAAGTAATATAGTACCTTATATAAATAAATGTAATGACTAAGGCCTAGGAATGACTGTTGTAGAAGCTAAATAGAATACATAGTTGTTTGGGATGTCAGTTTTTTATTAAAGTGAACACCTTAGGTACCCATACCAATTTTATGTGTATATATTAAAAAATGCTCCCTTTTCTATGTGATCCATTTGTTGCCTTCTGAGTTGAGAGAACAAAATTGAATAAAGTGAATGTTAGTTGTAGCCTAGTTTTTTTTTTTTTTTTTGCTTTGTTGGAAGAACGTTTTAAAATTATAGAAATGTGAAGCTGGTGCGGTGGTCCATGCCTCTAGTTCCATCTACTGGAGAGGCTGAGACAGGAAGATTGCTTTGAGTCCAGGAGTTCACAATCAGCCTGGACAACACAGTGAGACCCTATCTCAAACATACATATAAAATACAGAAATATACATTATTAGCCAGCATACATAGATAATCCATATATTTTTAATATTTGTGTAAGAAAAAATAGCTCAATTTTCATGTGATATGACCTTCCCCTTCTATTTATTTATTTATTTATTTTAATTTTTTATTGTGGGTTGTTCAAAACATTACAAATTTCTTGATTCCCCTTCTATTTAAACCCAGGTTTAAAAGCATAGTTGGAGAAACTGTAGCCACCTCTCCCCAGTACTTGAAAGGTAGCCATCTTCACTGGACATGGTAAAACCCCATCTTGTCCACTGCTTACTCCTCCACAAGACCAAAGTCCAGGCTTGTCTCTCTTTCAGATGGAGACTTTGACATGGTAAAACTAATCAAAAAAACATTTTATGTAGTTGACCATATGTCCCCCAAAAAAGGGAAGGACTTACCCAGGTTCTGTTTATGCCTGAGTGTTCAGAATGAAGAGAATGTTTTGCTTTAGAGACCTTACTAATTTTTCCCATTTCTAGGTTTCAAATGATTTTCAAAAACCTGCATGTTTTTTTCTATTAGTACCCTTCCCCCACCCAGTCAAGTGCATTTTCACTCATTTTTTTTTTAAACGCAGGACCATCTTTAATCTGTGAAGTTGAATTTCCATCAGAGGCGCTTGTGTGGCGTTGCTCAGAAGCTGACCATAATTTCCCCTTGCACTCCAGCTTGGTGCCACTCCTGAGCACAGTGATGAGGTTTTGTTGGTGGTTTTCTGTGTTCATTTGTTTCTAGCACTGCACTTAGTGCTCTACTTAAATGAAGCATTAGGTCTGCTGCTAAGGAGCTGAGAATGAAAAAGAACACAATAGGTAGGACTAAGATGCCTTGGGGAACACGGAGAAGAAAGGACTGAGACTGGGAGCCTGCAGTGATCTCCCTGCTTCCTCAGTTTCCTACATGTAGGGACCCCTCCTCTCCCACACACCATCTCCTGTCAGCCTCCTGTATCCTACTTCATGCAGTGCCATACTCTTGCTAAAGCCATCCAAATGTACACAGGCAAGAGCCTCAGTAGAGGTTCCTTTTTGTTCCACTTTGCATTGTTTAATTATCTTTTTGAATTTTCTTCCTTGACATATGTAACAGTGCCTGAGTTTTTTCACTTCTCCATATTTGTTCAGTAACTTCTTTAGGTCAGACCTAAAGAAGCGAAGCTTCTTCCCAGGAACCCTATTCATCACTTACCTGTTCTTTGTTCAGTTGGAGCAGGACTTTCTGCTGGCTGACTATTGTCCGTGGGCCTGAGGGAGCACAATAGAGTCCAGAAATAGACCCACGTGCATAGTGACTGCAGTAGAGTTCTGTCAAAAATGCAACAGTCTTGAAAAATGATGGAATAATTGGACATAAGATGCAAAATTAAAAACAATCCGTACCATAGTAAGAATTAAAATGAGTTATAATCCTAAATATAAACTAACTTGTAGAAGAAAATGAAAGAAAAAAATGTTTAACCTTGTGTTAGGCATAGTTTTTAGATACAACAAGTACACTTCATTTAAGAAAAAGAATGATAAATCATACTTGATCAAATTGAAAACCTCTTAAGATGCCAAGTGAATAAAAAGACCATAGAGTGGCAGGAAATATTTGCATTTCTGATGAAGTACATGCATCTAGAATACAGCAGTCTCAAAACAATAGTAAGTATACCATTTGGGCAAATTATTTAAACAGACACTTCACTAAAGGTTATATACTGGGCTGGGGATGTAGCTCATTGGTAGAGCACTTAACTAGTTTGCAATGCCCTGGATTCAATTCCCAGGGGCGGGGAGGATGTGGCAAGCATATGAAATATGCTTGGTTCTTCAATAAATAACCAATGAAATATTTAACATAATTAGTCTCTAGGAAAATGCAAATTAAAACTAAAGTAGGCTGCACCACATACTATTAGAATGCCTAAAAATAAAAACATACCACATATTGGTGAGGATGCAGAAGAGCTAGAACTTATGCTCGGCTGAAGGTAATGAGAAGTGGCACAGTTACTTTGGAAGACAGTTGTAGGTCATGTACATTTAACGTTCCTAATTATTTGTCAAAAGAAAAAGTATATTTCCCTATGAATACTTGTACCTTCATAGTAACTTTATAATAACCCAAAGCTAGAAGCTACCCACATTTATCAACAAGTAAATACAGAAATTGTGATTATTTACATAATGGAATAGTGCTCAACTTGAATTCACTGTTGATACATGCAACATGGACACATCTCAAAAGTACTGTTATAAAATGTATACACTAGAAAATGTGGAGTCATCTACAAAAGTGTATAGAAAGAGCGGTGGGGTTAGGAGTTGGAGGGAGGACTTGTAGAGATTTCAAAGGGGCATGAAGAAATGGGGGTGATGGATGTCTTGTGGTTCTGGTTTAACATGTAATACATATGTCAAAACTTAACAAATTGAACTTATTGTAAGTTAATGTCTTGATGCCCTTTCTAAGTAACCATTTGAGTCCTTCTCTTTTCTCAAAGCACCACATCCTCCTTTCTCCTCACTTTGATGACAGTCCTGTGTCACCGAGAAGGAGGAAGCAGTCCAAAGAGAACGTTCACAAGGTCACACAATCACATCTACCCCTGATCTGCCCCTGTGTCCATGTGCTCACCAGTTAATTGAGCTCCCAGAGTGACACTGCTTTGCCTGCCCTTTAATGCAGACTGCAGTGAGAGAGGTGCCTCAGGCCAGATGGGCTCCACTGAAGAGCCCCATTCACCTTCCACTGCTTTGAGGGATAAGTGTGCCCTGCCTACTGGAGGGCTTTGGGCTGCAATCCTGCCCCCCCATGCGTCTTCTCTTCTGTTGGGCTATTCCCATCATTACTTCCCACTGCTGCTGTGATTCTTCCACTAAAAATACCTTGACCCCGCCACTCTGTTTCCTTCTCAGCAAATGCCTTCAAAGAGTTATCCATACTCATGTTAACTTCCAACTCCATTCCCGTTGGATATTCATTCCCATTTTTTCCCTGGAATTGCTCTTGTAATTGCTGCTAAATTTTATGATTAATTCTCAGGTCTTATGTTTCTTGTCTCATCCAGTACTGTTGATTTCCTCTCTTCTGTTGAAACCACTTTATTAGTTTGTCCAAACACTGCAGTCTTCTAATTTTCTTCCTGTCCAGACTCTTCTTTTTAAACTTATTTGCTGGCTCTGTCTTGTCTTCCAGTCGTTACAAGCCCCAGGGCTCAATCTGGGACTGTGTTCTCCCTACACTCGGGTTATGCTAACTTAGTGATGTTCCACACCATTCAGTCCCACAGCTGTAAAGACCAGTATGCTGATTACTCTCAGGTATGTGTGTGTGAGTGCACTCAAGACATTTTGCCTGCCTTTCCTAAATGCCAGAATGTATGTGCATCTCATGCTCCTTTATCCAGGCTGACAGCAAATCTTTACCTTCTTAATAAATCCATAATCTGGCAACACTCTTGCCACCATGGTGCACATGACTATCCTCCTCCTCCTGCCCATGGTAATGCTGTTTTCCTGGGCTTTCTGACTCTGTTCTTGCCTTATTCTTTTTCTCCACTGAATCTATACTATTTCTGTTGATTGGAGTCAAATCAGTTTCACGCGAACTGGCAAGTGGATCACCATCACAAAATTGAAGTCCATGATGGCCTTCAATACCAGGCAGCACATGTTGGAACTCTTTTCCTCCCTCTGAAATATCACCCCTGTGCTCACTCTGCCTCAGGGCCTTTTCACTGACTATTTGCTGTGTCTGAATGTTTAGGTTCCTCAATCTCATTTCTTTACTGAGCTGTGGTTCCCAGTGAGGCTGGTCTCCCTGCTGTATATCTCATACTACTTAGCACACTCTATAGTTGACTTTTCTTATGTTTACATGTTTTCCACTTGAATGTAAGCTCCAGAGATTATATTTTTTAATCTGAATTACTGCTGTATTATTAATCTCAGTTTGTGGCACAAACCAGGTACTTGTAAGCATTTCTGAGTGAGCAAATAAACGATGAATTTGGAATCAAAATAATTTGTATGTGGCTAAAAGAAATCCTGAAATTTCTTTCCCGTTCTCCAAAGGTAACTGTTGTTAGTAGTTTAGCATGTGTTTCCAGAGTGTCAGGCCTAAACACACTTATAGAATCTTTGATCACAGTGAAGGTGTCATGCTACACAAATTGTTCTATGGGGTGCCTTTTTTCCCACTTTGTTTTATGAACATATTTTTGTGTCAGTATGTAAGTAGCAACCTAATTTTTTTGTTTCATTGTATGTTTTGAGATGGTGGTCTCACTGTGTTGCTCATTCTTGTCTCCAACTCTTGGACTCAAGTGATCTTCCCACAACCTCTCAAGAAGCTGGGTGGGACTAGAGCTGTACTCTACCATCCCTAGTGTTAGCTACCTTATTTTTCTGACAGCTTTATAGCATTATTTGGAGAGACCATGATTTAGGTTTTCTGAAAGCCACTTTGTATGTTATAGTAAATTTTTTTGTCTATATTAACATTTTATACTTAAGGTAGTTATTTCTGTAGGATAAATTTTTAGAAGATTAATTCATCAAAAATTTTTTTTGCAGTGTCAGATTGCCCCCTTGGAATCAATAAGGTATGAGAGTGTTTTCCTGTACCATCAACAACTTGACTATGTTGTTTTTTTCCACTGTTACTTGAAATATGTATATCCAACTGGTGGATATGTGGACCAAAAGGAAAAGACTGCAGTGGGACAAATTCCCTATTCTAAGGGAGCCCCTCTTGGAAATAGCTCGCTTGTGGTTCTCCCTCTTCCAGTCTGGAGGTGAGCAAGAGATGGGTGTCAGGGCCTCCTGCACGCAGTACGGAAGTTAAGGACAACTGCAGGAGTCACCGGGGCTGTCCTGAAACCAAGCTTCTCTGCTCCAGTGTCTCCCTGGTCAGTACCCAGTAGGACTGAAAAGTTAATTTTATCAGAAGAGGGGGAATTATTGCCTTCTAGGCCCAGTCTGGTTGGCTCAGTCATCTACCTTAGGAAAACAAATAGTATCCTGTAGTATCTTGTTTGATAGGAAACTGCCCACTGCAATTACTACAGCGATTTTTGGACTGAGGATAGAAGAATGAGTTCAATAAGAAGGAAGAGTTAGGCAATGGGAATGGCATGTGCGGAAGCGCCAAGACCAGAGCTGGTCTGGGAGGAGCTGCCCAGCCCTCACTGCAACGACTTTCTAACGAGGACTTGGTCCCCTGCCCTCGAGAGTCACGGAACCAGAACCCTCAGGGGAAGGTTCTCTGTCAATTCTGCTCCCGCTGGGCTGTGGGTAGTTGATCAAAAGGCCCTTTTCGCCGGGCACAATGGCCCATGCCGGTAATCCCATCCACTTGGGAGGCTGAGGCAGCCGGGTCGCAAGTTGGTGGCTAGCCTGGACAAAATTAGATCCTGTCTCAAAATTAAAAGGGAGATGTAGGTCAATGGTAATGCCCTTGCCTAGCATGCGCGAGGACATGGGTTCAAGCCCCTACACAGAGAAGACGGGAACCTCCTTTCTAAGTGAGAACTTCGGCTCACAGGCAAGCTGCAAAAGCGGCAGGAACAGACTGCGCAAGCGCAGTGCTCTTGGACACCCCTTCAGCGCCTGGCCTAGGTGCCAGGCATGTGCGCCTGCGCGGCACCAGGGCGCGCGCGAAGGGGTGGGGGGAGCGTCTCGGTTGCTTGGATACTGAGACACAACAGTAGCGTTGGCCCGGCTCGTGAGCAGCCGGCTGTGCTGAGTCGCTGGAGGGGCGGTTGGCTCATTTCCCGAGAGCCGCAGGAGGAGCCGGTAAGACCTCGCTTCTGCGGGGAGGGCGAGCGGCCCTGGCGCTGACCGGGCCCACTGACAGCCGCTCTCGCCCTCCCCGCAGCGTACCTACGTTCTCCCAGGCTGTAGCGGTCTGCCGCAGCGATGCCGCTTCCCGACACCATGTTCTGCGCGCAGCAGATCCACATTCCCCCGGAATTGCCTGACATCCTGAAGCAGTTCACCAAGGCTGCCATCCGCACCCAGCCCACCGACGTGCTGCAGTGGTCCGCGGGGTAAGCGCCCTTGAGCGCCCAGCCAGAGGCGGGCAGACCGCGTGCCCAGCGAACCCCCTGCCCAGGCCAAGCTTCCCCTTAGCTTGGTGACATCGGTTCCAGTGTGACGGTCTAGGAACCATTGCCATCTTTTGTTCATGAGATCAGAAATTATTGCAAAAATGCACATTTATCTAGAAAATGATGGTAGTTCATTTGTGGAGATAGACTAACGCTTACAAAGCCATCGCATTGAACAAAAAGTTTCCGCACTGTTTTAAAATCACAGGATCACAGCCGCTTTTACTTATGAAATGATTTTTACAAGGAAGAATCTGTTAGCTCTGATCCTTACCTGCAAAGAATCCTCCCAGAGTAGTTAAGTTTGTCAGCACTTTACTCCCGAGGTCATCCTGAGGTTTTCAAGACGAGCCTGCTAGTAGGTAAACTGCCTGGTGAGCTTCACAGCCAATGAATCTTAACAGTTCCTTGCAGCAAACACTCTTAGGAGCACTCATAACTTTAAATTAGTTACAAGTCAACAGATCTTAGAACCATTAAAATCCTTTTTTATTTTTCAGAAATATTCTTTGCTCCCTCTTATAAACAGACTTAGATACTCACTTTTTTGATGAGTCAACATAAGTGTAAATTTAATTTTTTTCTTTAGTAACTGACAACAGATTTTGATAACTTTCTCTAACCTATATAAACAAGGCAAGTTAATTTCTTTTGGCTGTTGTAACAAATTATCACGAAATTTGACTTAACAAGCACTTATCTTTACAGTTCTGGAGACCAAAAGTCCAAAATTAGCTTTATGAGGCTAAAAGCAAAGTGGTGGCAGGCCTTTGCCCTTTCTGATGACTATGGGGAGAATCCATTCCATTTCTTTACTATTCCAATTTCAAGAACTGTATCCCTTGTATAGCTTGGGCCTTGATCTCTTCATCTTTGTAACCAGCATTTTCATTCTTTCTCTACCTTCTTCTTCTAAGGATACTTGTGACTATATTTAGGAACCCATACTGATAATCCAAGGTAGTTTCACCATCTAAAACCCTTAATCAATTTGCAGAGACATGTTACCATGTAAAGTAGCAATCATAGGTTCCAGGGATTGAGACTTAGATATCTTTGAGCAGTTATTTAATCATACTAACAGAGTCACGTTCTTGAATTCTTTGAAACACTTCTGTCAATTGTTTCTGAACCTCTCAATCTTCTTGCTAAAACATTATGACCTCAGGCTTTTACCATTCTTCAAGCCTAAGTAAAAGATAGGATTTATTAACACTGTACAAAAAAAAAAAAAAAAAATCAAGATTTCACCCCCCCCCCCCCCTTGGAACACTAAATTATATTTGGCAACACTTCACGGACAATTATTTTAAGCTTTATTTTAATTTGAAAGGCCTAATCATGACCTTTCTGAATGCACCATGCTGCTAATTCAAGAAGGAGTTTAGAGTTTAGGAGAAGAGCTAGGCATTATTCATCAGGCTATGTGTGTGCCTCACGCGAGGCACCCAGAAGTGTGCTAGCACTGTCAGGACAAAACCTGTTAGAGAGATGTTCATAAACAACTGGAATTGGTGGAGAACTTGGTAAGTGTGAAATGAGGCTCCTGAAGGTTGAGCAGAGTGACCTGGTCTTGGGAGGATTGTGTAGGCAGAGGTTGAGGCTAAAGCAAAGCAGAGGGTGTGGAAGAGGAAGAAGTGCAGGAACAAAGGCAGTGACAGGAAGGAAAACAGGATGCCTGTGACAGTCATGCTGCCATAGGACATGCGGTAGGCATTCCTGTGTCAGGTAAGGGTTCTTTTCAAAGGAGGTCTTCAGATGGCCAAGGGTCATCTTTCTCCCAAGCCTGTCTACTCTACTGTGCTGGACAATCAGTTGTCCCTCATCATTTCACCATGCACAGCTAACTGAAGAATTGGCCGAGTGACAAAAAGCTGCCTTGGTGTCCCCCGGGGACTGGTGGCATGTACCTTGCCAGCAGGCTTTCCCAGCCCTGCAGTTGGTGGTGGCCGTGCAGCGGTAGTGTAGGATGTTAGCCTCCAGGCCTGTACCCACTAGATGGCAGTATTACCATCCACACTTTGCCCTGACAACCTAAATTGTTTCCACAATTGGTCCCCCTTGAGGACGCTTGCTGCAGAGGCTGTATGGAACTTGGTGACTGCTCTGATTAATTGTGGGAGTAATTCCATGAAATAGGTGAAAAATCTCCCTGGGACAGCAAAGCATGGCACCCTCCTTCAGCGGGGCTCTTTAGGTCCTAGGCTCCATATATGTCTGGTTCAGGGCTGTCCGCATTTTGACTTTTCCTTAAATCATTAACAAAACTACAAAGCAGAGCAGAAATTGGCTTACATGTACAGAAGCAAATTCGAATTTGAGGATTTGAGATAAAGCCTTTCTTTTAGTCTACCCAATATATATATATTGATCCACAGGCATGTATGCTATATCTTAGAATGTTTCTAGGTACTTGTACCTTTTACATTACCTGTGGCCTGGTGCATGCTTAGTGTGTGCTTGCCTGGCCATGCTGTCCCTTTGTTGTGTTAAAGTGAGCTCACAGGAGACGCTGCCTGATTTCCACTCCCAACACCAACCAGAGTCCAGGTGTGGGTCCCTTAACTTACTGCCCTACACTGTTTCTGTGCCTGTCTTGTGCCCAATGTAAGTAAGGGGCATTATCAATATCCCAGACAGGAACAGTTACCAGGAAACCCAAGGCAAGACAGTCTGGGCCTACTCAAGAGTGGAATACACAGCTGTTTAACATCAAATACCTTAAAAAGCAGCAAGGCCATGAAAAGGAAAGGCTAAAACCAAACTTTCAGAAGTGGAGAACTGGACTGGACCATGACACTGGACTCGGGTCTGTCCAGGGTCTGGAATCTTCTACTTCCTTTGGCCACATTTGAGGCTCAGAGCATGTGCTTGATGAGAATAGTGTATGTCCCGGGAACTCCTTCTGATGCTGACCACTAAGCCTTCCCCACTCAGTGCTTCCAGAACTCAGACAAGACAGGGCCTCCTTGTGCCCATTTGTAGACAGAGAAACCGAGGCATGTAGAGAAGTTTAAGTCAGAAAGCCAAGTGGAGGAAGGAGAACTTAAGCCCTAGCTGTTGGTTTTCCTCAGTGGTTTTCCTGGGGCATCTAAGGCACCACATGACATAGGGTGCTGCCTGTGTGCTGGGAGCCATTAGCCAAGTAGGTATGACAATTTCCTTTGAGTATTAATTGTCCTACAGCCTCAGGATACCTAGTAAGAATAGTGTTAGGAGAATAAGATAAATGTATCCACAATAATGGACCTTCTTGCCAAAATACTCCTGTAGGAATATTTTTTGTTGGTAGTACAATAAATAATAAAGGCAAACATATCAATTCTATCCAAATGTATATTTTCCATATATGTTTCAATAATTTTTAATGCCTTTCTTGCTTTAGGAGTTAACATGCGGGGTGAATTTGGATCTGATGGACCTTTTAGAATATCAAATAGAGGTCCCAACTCTCCTGTTGGTATACCTAGATAAGGCCTTATCCAATTTATGTCTCCCAATAACTTTTGAAAGTCGTTAAGTGATTTGAGTTGATCTACTCGTATTTGAATTTTTGGTGGACGGACCATGGTTGAGGATAATAGAACTCCTAAATAATTAATTGGAAAATTTAATTGTACTTTATCTATTGCTATCTCTAGATTATAATTTTTTAATAAGTTTGTAAGTGTGGCATAACATTCCAGCAATATGTTTTTATCTTTATGTGCCAATAATACATCATCCATATAGTGAAATATTTGTAGTTCAGGATTTTGATTTCTAAGTGGCTGGATTGCTTTGTTAACATATATTTGACACATAGTTGGACTGTTAGCCATCCCTTGAGGGAGTACTTTCCATTCATATCTCTGATCAGGACCTTCATGATTTAATGCAGGGATAGTAAATGCAAAACGTGGACTATCCTCGGGATGAATTGGAATTGAAAAAAAACAATCTTTAATATCTATAGCTAAAACATGCCAGGTTTTTGGCAAAGCAGACAATTGAGGAATCCCTGATTGAGCAGGTCCCATAATAACCATCTCATTATTAATGGCTCTTAAATCTTGCAATAATCTCCATTTACCAGATTTCTTTTTGATGACAAAAATGGGAGTATTATGGGGAGATATGGAAGGTTGTATATGTCCTTCCGCTAATTGTTGTTTGACCAGATCATGGGCTACTTGTATCTTTTCTTTAGTCAGGGGCCACTGAGGAACCCACACTGGTCTTTCTGATTTCCAAGTAATTTTGATTGTCTCAGTGGCCCTTTCTGAAAATCCAACCCATGTCTGTCTGTTCCTTGATCTATTTGTATTGGTGCTGCTATACCTTGCCCTTGTTTTCCTAATCTTTTTTCTTTCCTAAAGCCTTGTCTAGCCCTAGTAGTGGGCGCATTAAGATTGATGTTATTTGTTAACGTCAAACCTAATTGATCTAGGACATTTCGTCCCCATAAATTTATAGGAAGATGAACCAATACATATGGCTGTATAGTTCCTTCACATCCTTCAGGATCCTTCCAATCTAATATCATAGAACTTCTATGGGGATTAGTCGCCACTCCTAGGCCTCGAAGCGTTTGAGTGGCTTGTTGTAATGGCCATTAACCTCACTCCCCCACTGGCACCAAGGCCAAATTTGGGGGCCAACAGAGGTGAGGCAAAGAACCTCACCCCCCCACTGGTGCATAGACCTATCCACAAGTATGGCTGTATGCTGGACCGGTAGTCAGTGACGGGTATGATCCAATTGCAGTGGTATCAACCTAAGACAGGAGGCTGACGCCTAAAGGTCAGTTTTTCCCATGACGGGTAAGAACCATATGTTGAATTGGACAACCTACCAGGCACGGTCCTTAAGCCACATTGCTTGTTTAATTAATCAGAAGGGGGGAGATGCTGGGAGCCATTAGCCAAGTAGGTATGACAATTTCCTTGCCAGCATACCCCATGTTGCTTAGTGGAAGGACTCGTGGAAATAGGACATTTTGCAGTGACATTGCATGTAGGTGACCTTGCTCAAGGACCAGGGCGGATTAGGGTGTTCCCGGTTTAGGATAATTGGGTTTAGGGCGTTCCAGTTTAGGGCGTTCCAGGTTTAAGATTATTCCTGCTGGGAATAGGGCATATCCTGCTGCCTGAGTTCCCCTTGAGTTCTCACGGGATTCAGACAGTATTTTTTGGGAGACAGAAGCCCAGTGGGAGTGGATTTGGGTAGAGAACGTGGATTTCCCCAGAACGTGATTGTAGACGGCTGGTGTGAGTTCGGGAATAAAGAGTTGCTGTTTGAATCTACAAGCTGTGTGGTGGCTCGTGATTGTGTGCCCAGCCAGGCTGCGGCACCTGTGTGTTGATAAGCTTCAGACATGTCTGTTTTTCCCAGGTATTTTTCAGCTCTGTCAAGAGGAGATCCACTTCCTGTAAAGGATAGAGTCGAGATGCCTGTGGCAACCCAGAAAGTAGACACAGGCATGACCCAGGGACTGCTGAAAGTCCTGCACAAGCAGGTAGGCAGGGTCTAGCTGGCTTGTGTGTCTCCCAACCGTGGCATCTCTCAGAACCGTGGAGCAGAACCCCATCAGGACCATGGCTGGACCATGTGTTCCCTGTCCTTTCTTCAAGGTTTCCTCTACAAAGGAATGTATACATTCGGTAGACTTAACCCAAAATAGCTACTTAAGAGTAGATTCTATTTGATTTTCCTTTTTTGAGGAGGCTGGTCCTGGACTTGTGATCCTCTTGCTTCAGCCTCCTGAGTAGCTGGGATTGTAGGTGTGCTCCAACACCTGGCATAGCCTTTTTTTTTTTTCTCCATGGCACTGGGGATGGAACTCAGGACCTTGAGCATGCCAGGCAACCTCACTACCACTGAGCTACACCCCCCAGGCCCATAAATTTTATTTTTAAAGTGCTTTGTTGCCATTATACACAGGGAAGTACTATGCTTCTGTGCAGGGCCCACTGGTTTCCAAAGATAGGATCTTCCCCGGACTCTATATCTTAAGGAAAATATTCCCACTGAATTGTGTACCTTGGGGAAACAAATCCTCATTGCTCAGATTTTTCTACGCAAAATTCTACTAGCAGATTGAAGAAGTTGTCAGTGTTCATAGTGTGTTTAAAATAGTGGAAGCGATTTATTTTCAGATTTTTTTCCTAATTATTACTGTATTTAGGGGACTGGATTTTCAAATGCTTTTATTCAGTAATTTTTTTTTTTTTTTTTACTGTGAAGTATTTCAGACAAACAGTGGAGATTCACACACCCAATATCTGCTCATTTTATGAGGTCGTAACACTACGCCATATACTCTTCTCTTTTGGGATATAGAGCCTAGCGCCTGCACCCTCCCTGGGGCTGACACAGTTACTGTCAAACAGGAGAGTCCATCTTCTCAGCACTAGGCCGGTGGCTGGTGTCTTAAGTCTTTGCAGGACTGCACCATCTTATAGGTTTTCCAAACTTACATAGATGGTGTCATATTGTGTTTTTAAACAGTGTCGCCACAAGAAGTATGTGGAATTAGCAGAACTTGAGAAGAAGTGGAGAAATCTGTGCCTGCCAATGGAGAGACTGAGAGCTCTCCTAGTACTGGATCATTGTGAAACGGAAATCGAGTGGATAAAATTTTTAGCATTGGGATGCAGTTCACTTGGTGGGGTACGTACACATAAATAGCATCTTAATAATTCTGTGTAATAAAATGCCTGGCTTAAAAACAAGTTTAGGTTTCAGTTGACTAAAGGAAATACTTCATTACTTCAGTAGCTTTGTCTTAGAAAAATTTTTTTTCCTCAGGCAACTATGATATTTTTAGACTATAAGTCTAAAATACTTTTGAACACCTCAATTTAAAAGATTTAATGCTTATGAGCACCTTGATTTAGATGATATTAACAGTAAATAAAATATGTGGATGCTCTTAAAATGTACTTAGGTTTTAGAAGAGAATGCAGCAATGACTTTTTATTAAAGCACATCATTTTGTAAACTGATAATGTCTCTTCTCCCCTTCTGTGGAAAGAGGCATAAAATTATTTTATACTTGAGTTACAATCCATTATTAAAGCTAACAGATACTGTGCAACTTTGCTGATGCTCAAGTTTTGCCCTAACAAGCTTAGCAATAAGACATGGGCGATCCTCGATTTGGGAAACGTGGAGTTGGTGAACCCAGGAGGTGAGGAAGAGGTGTGGAGGCTGGGTGCTGAGGATGTGGGCAGAGCCTCCTGTGCACAATGGAGTCTGCTCAGCTGCAGTGTGGGAGTCAGGTTTCAGCAGGGAGAGTTAGTTAGCACGCTCAGCTTGGTAACAATGGCTGGGAAAGAGAACAGGCCTGCTTCCCGCCACAGAGGAGCAATGTTGTTTTACTGCTTGCCTTCGATCTTTGTAGCCCAGGGTACATCAGTGATTAATGACTAATCCCTGCTTCACAGCCCACACTCATCCTTGATCCATGGGTAAGCCTCTTCCATTTAATTCTAATTAAAAAGAAATCACTCCATATTATAAGCACCCAGGAACCTGCTCAGCAGGGTCATTGACACACCGACACTAGCTCCAAAGACCTGTGCTTCCTCCTGTCCTGTGCCCCGGCCTGCCTGCCCAAGGCAATGACCATCCTGACCTCACACTTCCTGCTCTTTTGCCTTTAAAGAGATACTTTTATAAAAGTGCCCCCAAAATATACTAAATAATGTTTGTTTTTGTTGTTGTTAATATTGTGCTGGGGATTGAACCGTGCTGGGGATTGAACCCAGGGCCTTGTGTATGCCAGGCAAGCACTCTACCAACTGAGCTATATTCCCAATCCTAAATAATATATTTCTTGAATTAGTTTTAACTTTATAAAAAGATAAATATGCTGTTGGTTACCTTCTGGAACTTCTTTTCATCCCAAATGACACTGCTGCAGGGATTGGTCTGCCAAGCCACAGAACCATGTTGCTTCTTTGCCAACTGTTTGGGAAGTGAATATATCACAATTCGCTGGTTATATCACTGGCTCAGTGAGAAGCCTGGTCACCTCAGTGAAGTCAGATGGAGCCTGGGGGCTTCAGGTTGAGCAACAGTTTTGAGGTATGGGTGTTTCTGATCAGCCCTGGGCTAATTTTGCCAAGGCCTGGACCTTGGTAGGCCTGGCACCCTCCAGCAGCAAAGACAAGCTCAGAAGTCCCCAGGGGACATCTCCATGGGGGATTATTGGGAATGACAAAGACAATTTCATTATTGAAGAAATTAAAAAAAAAAAGATTTTTAGTTGTAGATGGACACAATACCTTTATTTTACTTATTTATTTTATGTGCTACTGAGGATCGAACCCAGTGCCTCACATGTGTGAGGCAAGTGCTCTACCACTGAGCCACAACCCCAGGAGAAATTTTTATGTTTCTTTGTTCATTTGGAACTTGGTGAAACCAAGATTTTAATAATACAGAATTAATATCTGATGTTTGAATTAATGTTTACAGTTTTTGCCTCTAACTTAATTGTGAAGTTTTGATTTTTAACAATGGTGAGAATAGTAGAAAAATTCATATTTTGAATTCATCTTCATAATTTCTACCTCCCGAATCATGAAAATTAAGCACTCAGTTGATTTCAAGCAAAACCAAGTCTGTTACGGCAAGTGAGGTCCCTTGTTCATGTGTATTGGTGACACTAGAGGGAGACATTTCATCAAGGATAGAGCTTTGCTGTCTAAGAACTCAGGAAAAACATTAAAAATGACAAGCATTCCTTTGCTTTCTTCCTATAACGCCTTACTCTGTCCTTAGGGAATCAATTTATACCAAAAGGCCCACGTGTGGTCATTGTGTATTTCCTCCTGTCCCCAAACCTAAGCCACCTTTGGCAGCAGGACTTTCCACTCACTTTGCTTCCTCTCAGGCCCAGGGCTCCTTCCTGGCTGTGAAAGCCATGGCCACGCCTGCCAGGTGAGGTGTGAAGGTGATCCTTTGGTCCCCAGGAGCCCCTGCGGGAGTGCCCGCACTGGCCTCTCCCCGCCCCACACCTGCCATGTGAGCGGGTGGGCAGTCTTGTGCTGTGGGTGCTGGGGTGCCCCCGTTGGCTGGGAAAGCTTGGAGGTGCTCTGAGAACAGCTGACAGGAATGAAAGAACCTTAAACCCTGCTCTCAGGAATCACTGTCGTCAGATTAACCCAGCTTAAGCTCTCTATAGGCTAGAAACCTCTGCCTGAATTTCTGAGTCGTGTGTATCATTCATTTGTTCCTTCGTTTCTTCACTCCCCAGTTTTTGCTGAGCACTGTTTGTATGCAGCCTTGCTGGATGAGGTCTGAGTGTCCCCGAGTGTCTGTGTGACCAAGGCTTCTACTCTAGGGTGGTGGTACTGGGAGTGGTAGGACCTTTAAGCACCGGGGCCTGGTTGGGTGTCTTTGGTCATTGGGCTGGCCCTTGAAAGGGGATCAATGTGATTCTTGAGTGAGCCTTTGACGGTTTTGGCAAAAGGAGTGAGCCTGCCCCTCCCTCTGGCTTCCTGTGTGAGATGAACTGGCAGTCCCACCACCTTGAGCCACTGTCATCACCAGAAGTGAACCAATGCCCCCACCTCAGCCTGACCTCAGCCTTGGGACCTCCACAACTGTGAGCTAAACAGACTCTTCTCTTCATGGGTAGCTGTGGGTATTTCATCATAGTGAGGAAAAGCTGACCAACTCATGGCCTGTTCTAAGTGCTGGAGATTCTGGAGTGCACCTTCTGGGCTTGTGTCCTCAGACTCTTGCAGTTGATGTTCTGCGATACCCTTGGATCCCTGGACACAGCTCCAGGTATCCTATTGAAAGCTATGAATTCGCGTTAAGGGACATTGAGAGGTGCTCAGTCAGTCAGTCAGCCAGGTGGACGAGGATGTGAACTTGCTGTCTGAGGCTGTCGTGAGATAGTCTTTCCCAGGGTCCTGATATGCATGTCTGGTGACATCATCACATTTACACATTGGGACTTTATCTTCGCATTCCTGCAGCACCATAGATGGTCCTAAGCCTTAAAGCAGTGGATCAAAATGTCTTGTTTGTAGCCTGGGGATCTTTTTTTTTAAGCATAAGAAAATTGTGAACTGAGCCTTTTATCTTCAGACACTCTCTAAATCTATAATGAAAAAACAGCCAGACAATGAACAAGGAATATTATTTATTAGCCACAGAAGCAGCCCTCTTTGGTTGTAATAGGAAGAAGGTGTGGGTGTAATGTGGTTCCATCTGAACTATTGCCTACAACAGTGGGCATGGTCTCTAGGGTTCTTAGCTCGGGCTAGAACGTGCAGGACCCTTCGTATGTTTTGGATCCAATCCTCCCAACGGCTTTGGAGGAGAGACTGCTGAACGTTAGGCTGGTGAGCTGTGGTGGAGACGGGCTAAGAACCTGAGGTCAGGTAACTGGGAAGTGAGGGGTGCAGGGGTCCCTGCCAGTGACTCTGTAGTGACCCAGGAAGGTTAGGGCCACTTCAGGAGAGTTCATGCTTGGGAATTCCTATTTCAGAGAATGAGAACTCCCTAGGGTTACAGTAATATCATTTTATATCCTAAAATTATTCAGGAGTGTTCAGTGCCAGCCTGACAGCATGTACCCTGGAATGTGTAGAGCACTGTCCTCATACGCTGGCCCTGGGTGACAGCCACCTGTCCCAGCAATGGAGCTGCATTCTGGCTTACTGTTCCCTGCCACTTGCCCTTCAGGCTTCTCCCAGAAGGACCCAAAGACCATTCTGAAGTGTCCCAAGAAAGGCCAGCAGAATTCTTAACCCACCACCCACCATGAGGGTGAGCCTCAGGCCACGAGTAGGTGGAGCACACTGTCCCCACAGCGGAAGGAGCTGCCCTTGGGTTCCTGGGATTGGTGGGCCTAGCTCTGCCACGTGGGAGGGGGGCGTGCACTCCCTGGAGTTGTCACTGTGTCCACTTCAGCTTCTTGGGCGATGAGTTGTGCTGAGACCACAGCCCAGCCACCTGTGGAACACTCTGGGCCTCCCACCAAAGCCCCCAGAACAACAAAAAAGAGAACCTATGAGGATAATAAAATGGGATGGGAAGAGCCTTGGGCTTTTAATGGAGCTCTGGTTCTAAGGACACCATCACCTGGCCTCCACCCTGCCCCAGCTGCCCTCCTGTAAAGGGTTCGTATTCTTATTTGCAACCTGGCTCAAAGGTACCCCCTGGAGGTGTGAGATGACAGTTCTTCAGAGGCTTTGTGTGTTATCATGGGAGCAGCTGTGACCTTGAAGCTGTGAGGAATCCGACAGAATTGGCGCATGGAGAATGCGTACGATGTGAGGAACCTCCCTCTGGGGTTTTTCCCACATCTCCACTTTAATTTCAGATTATGGATGAAGCAGAAATACTTGGTTTAAAGTGTAGCTGGGCGGGGTGGTGCATGCTTATAATCCCAGTGGCTGGGGAGGCTAAGGCTGGAGGATCTCAAGTTCAAGGCCAGCATCAGCAAGCTTAATGAGGCCCTAAGTGAGACCCTGTCTCAAAATTTAAAAAAAAAATTAAAAAGAGACAGGAATGTGGCTCAGCAGTAAAAGCTCCTCTGGGTTCAATTCCCAGTATTTAAAAAAAAAAAAAAAAAAGACAGCTTTCCAGCCCCCTGGCCCCAGGATATCTCATGCCCTTAAGAATAATGGTGGGAGGTTAAGAGGGGTCCTTTGGCTGGCGATGAAGTGGCTGTACTTCCTACAGCCCTTTGGAGTTGAGAGTTGTGTTTATCAGAAACTTAACTCTCAGTAAGATCAAGCGAGTTGCTTTATGAGTCCTTTTGGATATAAAAGTTGCTGCATATCTTATTGTCAGGACTGTCGGCACCAGCCGCGTCATTACGCCTTTGCAGAGCTGCGATGCTGGAGTGTTTTGATGTATTTTTCCTTAAATACCTCCTCTTCCGAAGCCTCGAAGCCTCGTGGCGGCAGGTCTCATCTGCCTGCTCCATGATGCCAACTGCTTCCTTCCCCTGACTCACAGCGCCAGCCTGCGAGTCCCCCTCTCCTGATGTCTTGCTTCCGTTTGTGTCGGATATGAAAGCACATTCCAGCATACCAGCGCGTCTTTGAAAAGTTTCAAGTCAGGAACAGGGATTATAAAACAGCTTTATTTTTAGCAGCTCCTCCCTCGAGGCCAGTCTTTTAAAGGAATGGTGTGTGTGGAGGTGTCCGCCTCTCTGCGGAGTGAAGACACCTTTTTTTCTAATGAGTGTCACTTGGCCCTTCCATGCTAGGCTGACTGATAGCTATTCTGGACCCTTGTGTCACATTCCTGCCAGGGCCAAGGCACCAGAGATTGGCTCTGCTCAGGGGTCCTCTCCTCCGCCCAGGTTCTGGATCCAGGAATGTGGGGTGTCTCTGTCTCTGCCTCTCACCCCCCCCCCCCGAGCCAGTGCAGTGGACCCTAAGGTGGCCCACTTTCTGCCTTGGGCTGGGTGACCTTGGACAATGACTGAGCCTCTCTGGTCCCCACCATTCCTTTGTGAACTGAGGATAATGACATCCTCACTGCTCTCAGGGACTGAAGAGTGGACAGGGCACCAGAATCAAGCTCTTGGATGGTGCTAATCTCTGCTGGTTACTGGTGACCACATGCCGCCTTGTCCAAGGGCCTCATCTCCGTCCTGCAAACTTGTGCGCACTGAGGACAGCAGGTTACTCCCCATGACAGTCCATACTGAGGCCAATGTGTGACTTGCGGCTGCACCTGTCCTACGTCTGCAACTTCCGTGTGGGACTGTCTCTGCTCCTCCCACCTCTGGTGCTCTGTGCTCATGCAGCACATCTTTTCCTGCTTTCCCTTTTTTGCTAAGAGTCATTTCTGGGCTTGCTGCAAATGCCATCTTCATATTCCTTAGCATTCTCGTGATGTTTTCATATTCTGCTGTTTAGGGGCAAGAGAGCCCTGATTTGTGATGTCTTCCAGTCCATGTGGTGTAAATTCCCCGGCCCCAGTTCGATTCCAGCTACCAATGGGAGGTGTCTAGCTGACAGAACTCCTGGAGGGGTCAGTGGCTCGGGGGCCCCTGGAGTGCACCACTGCCACCTGTACCCCCAGTGTCCAGCTTTGGCTCTGCCACTCCTCCCAAGTGCTCCTGTGAAGCCCTCTGGTGGAAATGCAGTCCTCCCCTCCTCCCTCCCCGACCTTGGACAGCCAAGCACTCTGTCCACCTTCAAGCACTTTCCTCTACTCACGGTTGGTCCCACCTCCCGTACCCCTCCTCCTGTCTCCAGCTGCCCCCTTGGTGATCTCTCATCTCCCCGGCTCTTGGCGGATTGCACGCCATTTTCTGTCTACCCTCCTTCGGCTCTAAGTGATACCTTGTCCACTTGGGCAGACTCTCTCAAATAGGGTGACCCCACCTGAGCCACCGGCTGAGCTCCAGGCCTGAATACCCACCTTGGCCAGTGTTTGCACAGGGATGCCTAACATACATGCCAACCGACACTGCCCAGAAGTGAGCCCCTTTTTTGTGCTCAGGACTCCCCATCTCCCCTCCTGTCACTGGTGAATCAGCCTTCCAGCTGTGCAGGCCTAGTAGAACCTTGGGGGTCACCGCTCACGGTTCTGCCTCTCACACCACCGTGCGCAAGCTCTGTTAGCCCAGAGTCCTGCCTGGCTCCCAGCGTGGCCTCTACTCCATTGTCCCAGTGGCCTCCTTGTTGGGTGCCTGGCTTCCACACATCAGCTAACAGGGTCTCTCCATACTGCTCATCTCTGTTTCAATTCTTTAACCCCTTCCCATAGTACACGGGAGAAGCCAAGGCTCCCTTGCCCTGCGAGAACTCCCAAGATTGGCATCCACCCACCTTCTGACTTGCTCTAGCTACTCAGAAGTGAGCCCAGAAGTGAGCTCAGGCTGTTCCCGGAGCACCCACGCTTCCCTGGAATTCTGCAGCATCCCCTGGCTGGCCTCTTCCTCTCTGAGGCTTTACTTAATGTCCCTGCTCAGCTGGACCCTCCTGGACCCTCCGCCCCAGTGCCTCCTGCCTGTGCTCAGACACATCCCCTTCTTGAGGGAGCTGGGGCCCAGGTGTTCTGCCCTCAAACCACACTCTGACCTACAGGAGAGCAGGTGTTAGGCGTCCGGCGGCAGCCTCCCTCCCTGGGGGCCACAGTGGGCACAGGGCGACTATGGAGTGCACCGAGGAGAGCTCTGTGCTGGTGTTGGCCAGGGCTGTTAGGTGCGGCCTCTCTCGGAGTTTGCCTTCAAGCATCCTCATCCTCAGCACAGCAGTCAGGCAGGGGGCGGGGGTGGCTCTGGCAAGGAAGGGCTCTGGAGAACCCACCCAGGGTGGAGATGGAGTGCTGGCCCCCAGGCCACCTGCAGGATTGGAACGTCAGTTCCTCAGTGCATCTGGAAGAGTGTTGAAGTCTGCAGGGTGTTTGTCCTGATGTAAAAGAAAACAAGGAGTCCAGGGCTATGTATTTGGTTTAGTAAAAGATAGCATTCTATTGTTGTGGATTTTTTTTTCATCTTTAGGAAAAAAACAAAAACTTTTTTCCAACAAGGATTAGTTGAAAGGAGTCGGAGATGAGAGCCCTGGTGCAGTGGTGCGCACTCGGGAACCTCTGGTCTCCTGAGGAAGTCTGTGGCCCATCAGCTGGGCCTGCTGGGGCTTCTAGAGAGGCAGGTGCTCTGGAGACCTGTGCCTTGTGGCGGTGGAAGGCAGGAGGAGGATGGGGTGCAGGCCAGGATGGGGCCCGTGTCTCGGGGAACCAGACAGTGGGACTCCATGAGTGAGATACATCGAGGATAGGGGAGAAGAAAGGCCTGGGGTTCTCCTCAGCCAACACAGACATGGAGCCTCTGTGTGAGCAAGGACAGAGCCTGGGCAGCAGGGCCCTCCTTGAGGACGTGCAGGCTGCCCACCCTGTCAGCCCTGCCCGCAACAGGCAGCACCTCTGGACAGTAACAGATTGCTTCGTTCCTTGGCACCACCCTGAGTGTGTCTCTGGGCCTGACGGGACACCATAGTTCTGCACTGTCATACAAAGTTCATCACAGAGGGGCTGGGAGTGTGGCTGGTGGTTGGGGTGTGGCTGGGGGTGTGGATGGGTGGCAGAGCACTTGCCCCACAGCCCTGGGCTTCCCTCTGGGCACCACAGCACAAAAAAAGTTTATCACTGAAGACATTAGTGTCTGTGACAGTTGTTCTCATCAATATAAGATGAAAATCTGTGAATTAACACTTTTTCTAGTCACTTGCATCTCGACCAAACATTTTTTTTTAATATTTATATTTTAGTTGTAGGTGGACACACAATATCTATTTCATTTTTATGTGGTGCTGAGGATCGAACACAGTGCTTCACGCGTGCTAGGCGAGCACTCTGCCACTGAGCCCCAGCCCCAGCCCCCAACATTTCCTTTTTATTTTTCACCATGGAAGTTGCATATATATCTAGCTTTTAATTCAGAGGGAGATCATACTTTCCAGAATTTCTAAAGAATGTGCTTGAGGGTTTCTTTGGCTGGTATCTGCTTTACATCTCAGCAACTCAGAGTAATCCCCTCCCCGTGGTGTTTTAGTCGCTGAACACGGCCATGAAGCACGTCTGCGAGATCCTCACCCAGGACCCTGAGGGTGGGCCTGCACGGATCCCATTCGAGACTTTTTCCTTTGTCTACCGCTACTTGGCTGGGTTGGATCCAGACATCATGGAGATGGATGTGGAATCCTATCTTATGGGTTTAAAGGAAAGCGTGTAAGTATAGCACTGTTGGATCCAGGTATGTTGACTGTGGAGAATTTTATTTCTCCACTTTTCTGTCTTCTGAAAGTCATTCCAACCAAGCCCGCCCTTGACATATACACAGCCCAAGACGTGTCTAAGTGGAACTACAAGCCAGACGCCATCAGTGAAAGCAGCTAGCCATCCACCCTTGGTCACAGCCTTATCAGTGTGGGACTTAGGTTCTGTTTTATTAGACTTCAGAAGGAGAAATTGTGTCCAGTCACCAGAAATGGTCTGTCCTGAGCTTATCCTGGCTCTAATGTACAGTATGTCAGTGGTTTCAACTGTAGCCCGTTGACAGTGAGATGGGTCAAATTCACCTCATCACAGAGCAGCACAGAGGTTGGCCTCACTGTGGGACTGGAGTGCCAGGACCCAGGGCTGCCTGCATACACCTGAGACGTCACTGTCGTCACACAGTTCCTGTTTGGAGGAACATGTTACTTGGCGCTGTTACACTGCATTTTCTTACTGTGTTAGTACTGGACATGAGTGAAGGATCGCAGATGCTTTTGACCACTTCTCAAAATTATCCTTGGGCTTGTGTCTTCTTTTTCCAGTAAGTGGCCTCCCACATCTGAGGTGTGGCTACTCCCACATCTGAGCTCTGTTGAGCGGTGAGATGCTCCGTGATTCTTCAGGTCCAGAAGCGGTGGAGCATCCCTTTTGGGGGGTTCCCAGAAATCTGATGATCTCTCCAGATTACTTTTGGGAGAGAGTGGCACCATGAAAGTGGTGTGGGTATGTGGAGGGGACAGAGGTGGCCAGCGACTGCCACAGGCACAGGGAGATAAGCCAGACTGCAGCAGTGATGGTGGGGAGGAGGTGGGAGAATGCACTGTGGCCTGCCCTGCAGGGCTGGGAGGGGGAGCACCTGGCAAGGGGTAGGGGCTGAAGATGAGCAGGACATTAAGTGGCTCCTACCAGGAGCCTCATGTACCCCACACCATGAAACCCCCACCCCCAAAGCCCAAGAAAAATCGTGAATGGACCTGGGGGCTGAAGAGACCATGCCTGGCCAGACACAGCCCTGAGTGGGATTCGTGCAGATCCTGGAGCTTTCCCTCCTTCAAATGAGAGGAAATAGCAAAGCAGCAAACTCTGGAATGTGCAGGTCACTGGAGCCAGGCTGCCCACCACCCCTCTCCACTCCTCTGCCTAGTCAGCAGCTCATCTGTTCATCCCAGGACTCACCGATCCATCCACTTACCTGCTCCTTGCTTGGTTCCAAGTGTTCTGGAGCCCCAGTATCTCCCAGGAGGAAGATGCAGGACATTGCAGGACATTGCATGCAATGATGGGCTGTGTGGGCTTGACTGTCCTGAAACCTGTGGCCTCAGGTGCAAGAAAGAAACAGGCTGGGCCAGGTTGGCCTGGGCAGCCAGGAGCGCTGGCTCAAGAAACAACTGGAGGCAGGTTGCTTGGGCCCCTGGACAGTCTCTGACTCCTCCCTTCCCGTGGCCAGAGGGCTCCAGTCATTGGGTACTGCCCAAGGGTAAAGAACAACACGTAGCGTTCATCTTTGCACCTGGAAGAAGGGCCCATTATCATACAAGGAAATAGAAGGCTTGATTTTGGGTGGTAGAAATGACTGCTGAGAGGCCCTAAGTAGCCAGTTTTTAAGATGTTTTAAATTGTAAAGCATTTGATCAAAATTATGTTGTGTGTAGTGAGAAAGTGCTGATGGTGTCTTCCTCTGTTTCCCATCCAGAGACTCGAGAAAGAATGGCTTGATAGGACTTTCGGATTTCTACGTTCCAAAGAAGATAATTTAGAAAACCTTGAAGAGAAAGCTCTGAAGACACAGGCTGTTAATACTGAGAAGAACACATTTTCATTTCAAAATAGTGCTTTTGGAAAACTTGGCTCAAATACAACTTGTCATTAACCACTTACATCTAGCATGAGTTATTCTCTTTTAAGGGAGATTCAGTGTGGCAGATGCTTCACAGAGCCGCCACCTTCACGACTGCCCTTCACCATGTCTTGTTACAAGGACCTTAAATATGACAGTCATAGCAGTAAGCAGTGTGTTTCAGTAAAATAATCTATTGGGGTTCTGCAGGGTAGGAGGGGAGGGTGATGGGCAGTCTCTCTTGACCCAGACTGCAAGCAGGAATGCACCTAGACTTGCTTTTGCTCCCTGGTAGCCACCTCTGAGGCTCTGCAGGAGGCCTGCTGTCTCCTGTGACAGGGGTGCTGAAGGCTGGGACGCCTGCCAGACAGGTGGCATGAACCAGAGCTCAGGCCCTTGAGCAGAAACAAGGACCCCAGGACCTTCTATTCACTTTCCTTCTCTAAAGTGTTCAAAATGATGATACCGGTGAACGTGTTTTAGATGATTTTTCTGAGAACCTGGAAATGGCTGGGCTTGCTGGTTCTCTGCAGATTGGCCACCATGCTGATTAATATTACCGGTATCCAAAGAATGGGAAAACGTCAGAGTTCTCTAAAAAAGTGTTTCATTCCTTGAATTAAGAAGTGTGAAGTATATATATATTTTTTAATCTAGACACTAAACTACCTTATTTGATCATTTGCCTGAACTTTCAGTCCTTTCCAGAGACTAGACACTATAGGTTATTTATAAAATAACAGGTAACGTTAATTAGAGTTGGAGTTTTTAAAAACTTATGGTTTTTAAAATTGATTTAAAACTGCTCAAAATTTTACTTTGCCAAAAAATTTACATATTTCTCCCCTAAGATAAAATGCTTCAATGCATGCGGATAAGAAGAAATAATGTCGGGTGCAGTGGCGCACACCTGTAATCCCAGCAGTCTGGGAGGCTGAGGCAGGAGGATCTCAGTTCAAAGCCAGCCTCAGCAAAGGTGAGGTGCTAAGCAACTCAGTGAGACCCTGTCTCTAAATAAAATGCAAAATGGGGCTGGGGATGGGGCTCAGTGGTCGAGTGCCCCTGAGTTTAATCCTTGGTACCCACCCTCCACCACCCCCCCCCAAAAAAAAAAAAAAAAGAAGAAACGAGGTTTGTAGTGGTGAAGGGGGGTCTGGAGAGCAAGGTGCTGGGAGGCAGCTGCACACGGGTGTTCTTAGGGACACACAGGATGAACTGTCCCCTTGCTAGAAAGTTCTATCCAGGACTGGGGAACAGGGATGTGGTCCTCCACGGAAAGCTGATGAATAATATATATATGTATTTATACTGCAGAAAACAGATGGAATCAGTGAGCTAAGGGTCCATTTAAGAAGTTTAAAAATGAGCAACAGAAAAAAGAGAATGGACACACGGAAACCAAGCGAAGAACCATAGAGATGGCCCTGCAACCTGGAATGGGCTCTCGGGCACCTAATAGATCAGCAAGCCACAAACAGAGTAGAAAAGGCACACAAATATGAAAATAGAGATATAGAGATAACAGTTATAAATCCACAATTCTGGGAACTTGGATGAAATGCCCACTGGCTTCAAGAAACAACTGAGAACTGTTGGATGATCTTACCACCAATTAAAAGAACATCGAATGTTAAAGCAGAGAAACCGCAGGGCCATGGTTATAAAGCAAGCCTTGTCAAATTGTCAGGCTTTAAAGGAACAGACCTTTTTCTTAAGTTCTTAAGTATAATAGAGTCATTCCTATTCATTCTCCAAGATGAGCATATCTTTGCTATCAAAACCAGACAAAGACTTTGGGATAGGAAAATTACAGATCTATTTCACTTGGGGAGTACAGGGACAAAACTCTTAAAAGTTATTAGCAAAAAAAAAAAATAAAAGAAGCTTAAATGTAAGACAAAAAGATCAGGGCTGGAAGATGATCTACTGGCTTCACAGAATGAGTTTGGAAGGATTCCCTTTTCTATTTCATGGAATAATTTGAGGAGGATTGGTATTAGTTCCTTTTCTTGTTTCCATTTTTAGAGGAATGCTTTCAGTTTTTCTCCATTCAATAACATTGGCCTTGGGTTTGTCATATATGGTCTTCACTATGTTGAGGTAGTTTCCTTCTATCCCTAGTTTCTCCTGTGTTTTAAACATGAATGGGTGCTAGAATTTTTTTTTTTTTTTGGATGATGCTGGAGATTGAACCCAGGGCCTTGTGCATGCAAGGCAAGCTCTCTACCAACTGAGCTACATCCCCAGCCCAGGGTTCTGTAGTTTGTCAAATGCTTCTTCTGTATCTATTGAGATAATCATGTGATTCTTGTCCTTAAGTCTATTGATGTGGTGATTTACATTTATTGATTTCCATAGGTTGAATCAAACTTGCATCTCTGGGATCACAGTTGTAAGCAGTGGGTTTCAGTAAAATAATCTACTGGGGTTCTGCAGGGTAGGAGGGGAGGGGTGATGGGCACTTGATTATGAGGCACTATCTTTTTAATGTTTTTTGACTGTGGTTTGCCATATTAAGAATTTTTGCATCATCTATGTTCATCAAGGATATTGGTCTGAAGTTTTCTTTCCTTGATGTGTCTTTGGTTTTGGTATCAGGGTGGTGCTGGCTTCATAGAATGAGTTTGGAAGGATTCCCTTCTTTTCTATTTCATGGAATAATTTGAGGAGGATTGGTAGTAGTTCTTCTTTAAAAGTCTGGTAGAACTGGACTGAGAATTCATCCAGTCCTGAGTTTTTCTTTGTTGGAAGGATTTTGGTAGCTGCTTCAATTTCATTACTTGCTATTGATCTGTTTAAGTTTTCTAATATCCTTATGGTTCAATTTGGGTAGGTCAGATTTCTAGGAATTTGTCAATATCTTCAAGATTTTCTAGCTCATTGGAATATAAATTTCCAAAATAGTTTCTGATGATCCTTTGGATATTAGTAGTGTCTGTGGCAATATTTCCCATTTTTTCTGGAATTTTGTCAATTTGAGTTTCTTGGGGACCCTCCCTTGGTGTCTGGCCTACTCTGATCCTTCCCCGCCCACCACCTGCTGACACCCCCTGCTCTCCTTGGCTGTCCCCCGCTCCCCGAGGTGGGCCCTCCTCTCTCAGAGCCCCAGCCTGGGTAGTAAGCGAGAAGCACACACCTGGGCCTGCTGTGTGCTGGGGTCCACTCCAGAGCAGGCCCTGGGCCTTTTGTGACCAGGAGTTGCCTTCCTCATCTGGGCTCTGCGTCTCCAGGTGACCTCATGACCTGATGTTCTGCCCCTCTGGCTGCCCTCCTAGCCCTGGGCCTTCTCCTGAGCCACGGTGGCAGAGTAGCTTCCCACCCACTGGGCCACCTGCCAGAGGCGGCCTTGGCTGCTTGGTCTGTTCTTGGGCACACCCGGTGCTGCTGCCCTGTGCTGCTCATTGGGAGGTGCTGCTGTTCGCCTCACAGGCAGGGCAAGGACAGGGATCCAGGCCTTCGTGCACTGGCACAGGGCCAGTCCTGGTCCTCAGGGCTCCTTGGACAGGAGCTGAAAAATGCCTTGCCATTGGGGCTGGCTGTCCTGGTTACTCCATCTTCTCCATTCCCCTGAAAAATGGGCTCTGCAGAACTGACTCTCTGAAGCACTCTGCTTCAGGGACTGTGTTAAAAAATGTTCCTGGGCTCGGGAGGCTGAGGCTGGAGGATGGCAAGTTGAGGCCAGCCTCAGCAACTTAGTGAGACCCTGTCTCAAAATAGATAATAAAAAAGGGCTGGGGATGTGGTTTGGTGGTAGAGTACTCCTGGGTTCAACCTCCAGTATGGCAACCATAACAACACAGAAGGGTAGCTGGGATTAGTTTTAATTGGGATGGGCAGACAGCAAAGGAAATGAGCATTGTAAAGGAAGAAGTTTATGGAAACAGGAGGTGCAGCCCCTTTGTAGGCCACATGACACAAGACCAGGGACCATCAGGAAGCAGAAGAGGGCCAGGAGTCTTGGACTGGAGTGTCTTGGGAGGGATGGACAGGGCAGGGTCAGGACAGTAGGGGAGCCCAGAGTGAGAGTTTGAATGCTCTGGGACCCAGGGAGGCCCTAGGTGTGTGGACCCCACTGGGTTGATCTAAAGCAGTGGGTATGGACTGTGCGTGCCTCTCAGGAAGCACGCCGCGGGGGTGTGGGCTCCAGTTTGTGTATCAAGGTTTCCTCACAGAGTAATGAGCTGGCCCTGGGAGGGGCTGTGCTCTCCAGGATCAAAGCCTCAGGTGCCAGGGCATCAAGAAGACAGAAATCATCTCAGGGAGGAGAGGGCCCCCCAGTGTGACAGCTCCCCTGGGGCCTGTGGCTTCCTGGGAGACTCTGCTCTCTGGCCAGCTGGGTGCTGGCTGGTGCTCTGGCCATCAGTTTCACAGCAAGGTAACTGTCATGGGGTGGAGGACCAAATGGGTCCCTCCTGAACTTGGAGGGACAGCTTTTGTGGTGTCACTGGGCCTGCCTGCAAGGTACCTGTCAGTATAAATGGGAATGAGACTCGCTGTCATTCTATCTCATAGGGAGCCAATGGGGACGGGAAGTAGAACCCCCCACCTCTTCTAGTCACCCAAAGACACTGCTGACCTGCCCAGCTGGCCGAAGTCACTCACAGCACAGCTCCCGGCCCATGGAGATGGGTGTGGGTAGGAGCTTTGAAAGACTTGGTGGAAGCTGACTGCTGTCGGTGACCTCTGGTGTGGAATTGTGAACTCATAAAAGATGAACCAGGGCACATTATGTGAAAAGTCATGAGGTGTTTCAGGAATGGAAAGAATGAGGCACTGTGACAGGGGTGGCTAAGCCAGCCGTGCTGGGGAGCAGGCTCTGGGTTCTGTGCCTTGAAAAAGCCTTTGTCCCCAAGGCAAGCTGTTCCTAGGGCCGCGTTCTCACAGGCCTGGGAAGAGCATTCTGGAGTTTGGTTGGTGCCAGCGCTCTGGCCTGGGGCTCAGAGCAGACGTTTGTTTCCTGGCA